CGCCCGTGTGTTTTCTTTGCTACTCTAATAAAGAAGTGTTCTACTTATAAGCTACTTCCTTCCCCTGCAGAAAATAGAACTTTGCATTTCTAGAAAATACAATCTATACACACTCGAATGAATCTGTCAAGAATGAAAAGGGGTATATTTTACTCACCGTTTGTAAAGATCCACTTAAATCTTCCTCAGAGACCTGTCCTAGGGTGAGATACCTTTTCATTCACACTCTGCAACAGCCACTACCCAAAATTTAGCAACTAACTTTGTGTGTGTGTGTGTGTGTGTGTGTGTGTGACTAATTCCCCAGGTCCATTTTAATTCCAAAACAAAGATATGTCATCAAGACAAAAAGAAAGATGCATCGTTTATCATCAAGGAGTATTTTCTGTGTATGTGTATTCATCTGGCATCGGATCCCTTGGCACTGGAGTTACAGGCAACTCTGAGCCAGGAGCAAGGGTAACAAGAGTTCTTAACCACTGTGCCTTCTTTCCAGCCCCAAGGAATGAATATGTTTTTAAGTCACACGTACATCATACAGCCCTTAATTTTTGTCGTTCCTCAATAAGAAGACAACCATCCTGAGAGTATCTTTTGCAGTCATTCATTAGCTGATTATCTTCATAGTTATTGCCCCTCTGGGCATACGACATGAACTCGACATACAGGGTTCCTGTTGCCATGGGAACACTGTTGACATCTGAAAGGCGGAGACAGATAACAAGGTAACTTGAGGTAACCCCTCTGACGGAAATAAGCCAGTGCCAGTAGGCGTGACACAGCTCACGTTTCCCTTTTGAAGCTTACTTACTGTGCGTGTGCACACGTGTGCAGGCTTAGTTACTGTGCGTGTGCACACGTGTGCAGGCTTAGTTACTGTGCGTGTGCACACGTGTGCAGGCTTAGTTACTGTGCGTGTGCACACGTGTGCAGGCTTACTTACTGTGCGTGTGCACACGTGTGCAGGCTTACTTACTGTGCGTGTGCACACGTGTGCAGGCTTACTTACTGTGCGTGTGCACACGTGTGCAGGCTTACTTACTGTGCGTGTGCACACGTGTGCAGGCTTAGTTATTGTGCGTGTGCACACGTGTGCAGGCTTAGTTATTGTGCGTGTGCACACGTGTGCACGTGTGTGATACTGTGCACTTAGGAAGTCTGAAGCGGTCTCTCCTTCCACCCAGGTTCACCTCAGGGCCTCATGCTTGGCAGCGAACACCCTTGCCTGCTGAGCCGTCTCCAGTCTATGCTGGTTGAAATGAAAACGTCCCCCACAGGCTTAGATGTTTGAACACTTGGTCCCCAATTGACAGTGCTATCTGGGAAGGTTTAGGGGGTGTGGCTTTGCCGAAGGAAGTGTGTCACTGGACATGGGCTTTGAGGATTAAAAGCCAGGCACTATAGCTCTCTGTCTCCTGCAGAGATGGTTCAAGCTGTGAGCTCTCGCCTTTCAACCCCAACAACCATACCTGCCACTTTCTTGTCACCATGGCTCTTACCCCTCTGGAACTGTAAGCCCAAACACCAGTCAATGGTGTTTTATCACAGCTAGAAAAGCAGCTAATGCACAGCCTCTTTGAAGCCACATTTCCGTCGGGGACAGGAGTGACAAAAAGGAACTGTCTGGGAAAGAACTTCCCAAGCAGAAGGACAAGTGGAGAGACCCTGCGACAAGGGACATCCCAGGGTGGGCAGAGTACACGGAACAATGCCAGGAAGCAATGCACTCTGCCTTTCCAGGTCACTTCAGTCCCCACGACAGCAGGGACTGTGGCCTCGGAGGGAGCCGCGGCAGCAGACGGGGAACAGAAGAAACGCGTAGACTCAGCAATAACAGAGCCAAGGGCAGTTTGGGATCTACCGCACTCAGGTCTTTGAAGAGAGGCTGTAGGGACAGGCAGAGGAGACAACATGGGAGCTACAGGGTAAGACAAAGAACAGCGAGGTGCTGTGGACATTTTCTCGTCAGCCTCGCCTGCTCAGCTTTCAGATTCTCCCCTTGTAGTCAGATAATTCACGACCACATGCTTTAGGCCATAGCAGTTCTCAACCAGAGTTGTGGGAGTCCAGCGACCCTTTCACAGGGGCTGCACATCAGATACGCTGAGTATCAGATACTTACACTACAGTTCGACAGTAGCAAAATGAGTTATGAAACAGCGATGAAAATATTTTTATGGTTGGGGTGGTCACCACACCATGAGCAACTGCATGAAAGGGTCACAGCGTTAAGAAAGTTGAGAACCACTGCTCTAAGGGAAGGATACAGCGAATTCCTAACTACTGGAGACAGGGAACGGAACTGGTGTTCTGTAAATGCAAACCAGAAATGACTAAGAGCAGTGCTGTCCAAAGCAGGGACAACAGAGCAGAGGTGACCGGGCCAACATCAGGACTAGCCTGTTTCTACCTCCTCTCAAGCTTTCTTAGCCTGATTACTTTAGCATAGTTTTTTTAAAAAACTGAAGCAAAACATGAAACTCACAAATCGAGAAAGTGTGAAACTTGAGATATAACCACCTTCGAAACCAACAAGAACAAGGCATAAGAGTCTGTCAACACCTTAAGAGAACCTTGCCTCTTACTCGTGGTTTTAAAATTCCTTTTATGCCTGAGTTAGCCAGTTAATTTTTGGCTAAGTCAGAATGTAACCAAGAACTACTTGCAGTAATCCACTGCTCATCAACTATGAACAAACCAAATGGATTTTTGCAAACTGGTCAGGAAATGGAGGTCAAAGATCATTTCTCCTATACTGAGGTGAATAGGAACTCAATTAGGATTTGTGGGGATTTTTGAGACAGAGTTTTACTAAATAGTCCTGGCTGGCCTTGAACTTGCCAGATCCTCCAGTCTTTGGGGGAGTTGTTAGTCTTAAGGGCAATCCAATTTTATCATTTCAAAGTACTTGAAAACAATGATTTTTAACTTATAAACTTACATGCCGAGCCATGGTGACCCACACCTTTAATCCCAGCACTCAGGAGGCAGAGTAGGTCGATGTCTGGGAATTCAAGGCCAGCCTGTTCTACAAAGAGAGTTCCAGGACAGCCAAGGCTGTTACACAGAGAAACTTTTGTGTTAAAAAAACAAATTCATTTTCTTTGGGTCTCTAACATAAAACTACACATTAAGCCATGTTCACTGACAGCTATTCCATGAGACATAGCAATCCTTAGAGATGCACAATGAAGCCTTCTGTTTCCGGAGTCTAGCGGTGACTGGCATCAGCCCCAGACACAAGGAGTACATCTCACTTGCTAACAGGACATCATGAAGCATCTGAAGAGCCCCAACAGTTAGCCCCCCAATAGTTGGAAAATTACTAAGCTCTCCTGCCCTTGGACGTGAGCAGCTACACTTAAATATCTTCCCCTGGTGGTCCTCAAGGACTTGGGAACATTCCCCAGACCTCAAGGTTCCAGGCCGGTCACAAAGTTTAGCCAAGGCACAGACGTTGCCTAAGACAGATAACGAGCCAGTCAACCAGACAGCCACAAGCGTGCGTGATTCATGAAGGTCTGGCACCAACTTCCAAACTCCTCTTGTACCCCCACCACCTGTTTGTGGTTTTACACTTTAAAAACTTGCTGTAATTTCTACTCGGGGTTCACTCCTTCCCAAGGCTGCTGAACCCTGGCATGCCGGCTTAATAAAAATCCTCTTGTGTTTTACAATGAACTTGGGCTCCCTGGTGGTCTTTGGGGCGAGGATCCCGAGAGAAAGACTGAAGGGTCTTTCATCTTCTTATAACAGCTGCTACAAATACCATCTAATCTAAGGACCACTTTATCAGGAAATCATTTTAGGGTTTTGTTTTTAGACAAGGTCTATGCAGCCTGGCTGTCCTGGAACTTGCTATGTAGACCAGGCTGGCCACAAACACTCAGAGATCCACCTGTTTCTGCCTCCTGGGTGCTGGGATTAAAGATGTGTGCCATCATGCCTGGCCATTTGATTTATTTTTTCTGGAAACTCCTTTCTACTGTTTGAGCAATACTTCCAAAGCCTACAGGCTCCTCCTTCACACACACACACACACACACACACACACACACACACACACCACCACCCTCTGCTGCAGTTTCTCCTCTGAATGATCATGTTTCTATCTCAGCTTACTACACAACTGGAAAGACTATTACCTAATGTGAAATGCCTTCCATGTTCTAACCCAGTTTCAACAGGCGACTGCAAGACCAATCCAAATGAAGAAAGGAAAGAAATGAAGGTTCTTGGAGACCTGGAGAGATTCCACGTTTATCTCAGATGTGCCCTGCTCAGTCAGCCTCGAGCAGATGCAGGGCCCCCAAGCTCTCAGCAAGCACTGAGAGACCGCCTTAACTGTACACATCCGGAAGCTGTTGGATGTGGATCTGCACACAATTCAGTGAGGACTTCTCGGGACAGGGGGGGCTCAGGGGACAAAAGCCAACATGATGCCTGAGTCTGAGCCCTAAGACTCCCACACACATGCCATGTGAGATGCCAGTCTCCCCCACCCAAACACACACACACTAAAACATAGAGTGTAATTTTTTTAAATGCTTATGTAAAGGCACCTAAATTTAGCAATTCTGGAGGCAGCAAAGGCAAAAGAAAAGGCCTGTAGTTTTGACAGTGATTTAGACAAAAAATGTTTAACATAATCAAGGTGACAGAGACTGGTCAAGAACTATTCTCATTAAAAATGAAATAAGAATAGGCCTTGAAGTATTTCAGACTCCAAAAACTTCCAATTTGGGGCATATCAACGAATATATATGAATAACTCACTTAAGAATATGAAAGTGAGTCAGGTGTGTGTGTGTGTGTGTGTGTGTGTGTGTGTGTGTGTGTGTGTGTGTGTGATAACAAACACCTTTAAGTTCCAGCACTGCAGAGGCAGGCAGATCTGAGTTAGAGTCCAGCCTGGTCTATAGACGAGTTCCAGGACATCAGGGCTACATAGAGAAATAAGAATATGAAAGTGATCCTTAAAATCAATTATAATAGCATGGCACTGTTATAATATTTTTAATAAAAGTTACATTTCCGGAGCCCTTACTTGGCTTATATACGGTACATGACACAGAAGGAAGAAAACAGATACTTTCCCTCCAAAACATTTAACAATACCTTGTTTACTCATGACACGCACCTGGTGCACAGTCTCTGCATTTGTCACATAACGTTGTAAAAAGTGAAAGTCTCATCACATAAAAATAGTTATTTTTCTTTATATAATGGCTTTCAAATTAAGCACCTGATTGTTACGTGTATTACATAGAAGTGGTTGTTACATTAAATATTCTAATACTTAGAAAAACATTAAGAAACCAGTTTTACATAGCTGTCACACTTTAAACCTGGTAACTCAAGTTTCATATAAATGAAACTCTTAAAATTACACATCTGTCAGTATAAAAGTTTTTAAAACACATGACAATTTAATTTTTAAAAGCCTTCTAAATTTACATCTTTTCAAACACCAGTATGGTTTTTGTAACAACCGCCTCATAGATGTACTTAATAATAAGTTAATAAAAAAATCGTAACATGTAGCATCCTGGCAAGATGACTTCTTTAGAAACAAGGGCAATTGTGAAGTCGACATCTTAAGTGTACCACTACAAATGCACACAGCATCACAGAATGCAAAAATGCACAGGACAGGTGAAGTCTCCTTAGGTCACTAGTGCAGGTCACTGGATCCCTTACGCAGCTTAGGGCATGCTGCGTCTAAGAAGCAAAAACGGAAACACCATCACTTCTTCTCAAACACGTCTACGGGGTTTCCATTCAAGTGGCTTTTATGTAACTTATCTTTTAAGTAAAAAACGGTCTTTCCTTGAAGAACATATTTTTAAGCTAATAGATTTGGCATCATGACATACACTTTTTAAAATACACAAAATTCTACAGTCAACTCCTTCCCTCAATGTAAAATCGACACCCACAATGCACTTATAAATATATACATGTTCTCAGAATGATAAAATATTTAATTTTTATAAGCTTAAATAATTACTGAATGTTAATATAAAATACATTAATTAATATCTGTATAATTTTACACTTATAAAACGTTTTCTTATAGCAGCATTCGTATTGCAAATGAAATGTGACCAGATGGCATTGCACGAGGACTCTGACCGCAAGTCAGCCTGGCCAGCTGCAGTGTCCTCTGCAGGGGACGCCTGTCCCCCCTACAGAAGAGCCGTTCTCACAATGCATCGCAGTCATGAGGGGTAAAAAGTCCCCGACTCTACACACTCCCCAAGTTTCCTCCATGTGACCAGCGGGGTTTATTAAAACACCCCCCAAACAGTCATAGCTAAAACGGTCATATTAATGAATAGTGTTTGTAACTGAATCACATGAACTTATTAGGAATTAAGTAATTCCACGAGGAGTAAGAAAGGAAAGTGAGGGTTGACCTGAAGCCTGATGACAGTATCACAATGTCAAACACTCATATTCAGCTTGTTCTTGCTGAGCTCACGCTCCAGACTGCCAATCAAAGCATCGATACTTTCTTGCAGATCTCTGAGGTTGGCCTTCTGACTCATGGTGGACTCGATTGTCTCCATCGTCAAGTACGTCTGGAACGTGCGGGCTTTAGACATGGGGAGTTGCTGCTCCATCATGACCTCTGCTCCATCGGTTTTGCGATGATCTCTACTTTCCCCATCTTCTGAGGGAACGTCATTGTAATCCAAACCTTTGAAATTTTCTTTTGCGTTTAAAAAATAGTTTTCCCCACAGCTGCTCCAGTCTCCTGCATAGCGGTTGCTGAGGGGGCTGTCTAGTCTGGTCTGTCTTGGCCTCAGCACCCCCGGTGAATCCGTGCTGCTCAGATTCAATGCACAGGGTCGCTCTTTCTTTCGCCTCAGATGACTCAGAGACGACTGCTCCAGGCACAAACTGTCTGAGGGTTCTTTGACAGCTAAGCGTTGCACTAGAAATGAATACATGTGCTTTAGTTACAACCGTCGGCCTTAGGAAGACAGAGCAGACAGTAATAAAGCCATTTAACGATCAACCACAAACATGCGCGTGAGACATGCATCCTATTGAGAGAAAGCATCCTGCAGCAATTTTTCTACCCCCAGATATAATTAAGATTAGCATACAGATGAGAACGTTCAGTGGTACTACTTCATGCTAAATAAAAACAGTCCCCGATGAAATTCCCAACGCTGATTGACTTTCTGTGCAAGTTAATTGTTATCTAGCTGTAAGTCTAAGCTAGTAGCTTCTCTTCCATTAAAGACTACAGCAGAAAGCAGGCAGGACATGGTGCGTAAACAGCATGGAACAAGAAGGTTCTTTTCTACAAACATCCAGCCGAGGCAAAGGCATCTACAGCGACTGCTCTAGCTCTGACCTTAGTGGGCTTTTTTGCAGTTAGCAGTGTGCCATCGTTTACCAAGCAGCCCAAACTTCACTTGGATTAAATGCATGAAACTAGACTTGGCCATTGTTTACCTGAGTGATTATACAGCATTAGCTACTAATGGTCTTCTCTTTTTTGGGGGGGGCCTGGAAATAGTACAAATATTTTATTTTCCAATTCTAGTTAGAGGTTTAACAACCTCAGATAACATTATTTGTATTTAGACTATTTTCTTCTGAGATAAGCTGCATCCTACCATCTTGCATCATACTGGTCACACGGAAGACGACAGATAAACTTGACCTCACACAAAACAAGACTTCCATTCCTTACTTAGAGCAAAGTGCTTGTCCAAGGTTCTTCTGCATATAAAGTAGACTGTAAAATGCTAAAACATAGTTATTAAAGAGTATGCACATTGCCTATCTCTTTCTGTTTGTTTATTCTGTCTGCCTCTCCCTTAAAGAGCCCTCACTAAGATACGGGGACATAAACCAGTGATAACATCGATTTTGCAACACACCATGAAGGTTTGTTTGCAAAAGAAAACAACTTAAGAATGCTATACACATCCTAGCCTTCCACTTAAAATACTATTCTCAACATTTTACAGAGATATTTTACAAATTTAACTTTTATTTTAGCAGCTGTACATCGCATGTTTTCAACATTTCTGCTTATTTCATTTTTAAAGATTCACTTTTATTTTTTTTGCCTGCATGAATGTATGTGTACAGATATGTGCCTGGTACCAGTGGAGGACAAGAGCTCTTATTATCTCGATGCTTCCTCATTCCCTTCCCTTATCCTCTGTGCTATTCCTGTTCTCACTCTTGGGCCTGAAGTTTCCACCAAGCAGTTGACAGCACATTGGTAATCTCGAGAAAAACCCACATCTCTCCTGCTCAGTCAGGGCTCTACTGAAACTCTACTTTTACAGTTTCTTTGGAGAATACTCAAGAAACCAATTAAATCACTATTTACATTAGACTAAAAAATCCAATTTCTTGAAACATCGATGCGGCTGTCTGTTTAAACTATTGACACTGGGATGTTTTGCTGTTTGAAAGGAACATGAGAGAGAAATCCTGGCTGTCCCTGTGTTGCTGTTTACTGTGTTCAACAGAAAGAAGTGAAAATGTAGCCAAACACGGCTGTTGAGAACACTTCAAAGTGTAGTAAGTACTAAGAAACTTAATTTTCCCTTATATTTCATACCAGTAGATTTGAGTTCACTATGTTGCTTTCACTTAGAAAACAACATCTTTATTTAACAGAACTGTATTAGAGGGCCATTAATGCCAAGAACTAAGAATATGGGGTAGGAAAATTTTACAAGCTAGTAAGAAGTAGGAAACCCTGTCCCAAGTGTATCCATCAGGAGGAATGTGGGGCAGCAACAACTTTAAGTCTATAGCTCCACTCTGAAAGTAAAAGGGTAGACTAACAACAGCATCCAGTGCTCTTTTCAATCACAACCCCATTGTTCTTTTCAAAAGCCCCAAACACAAAACATGTAAGAAGAGGACTGTCCTATAGGAGCGTCTGTTTCTGCTGCGCCTTGCTCACCCAGCGGCAGAGACACACAGGGCGTGCTGGACGATGAGGTATGCTCCCTTCAGGGGCTAACATAACAGGCTTCTCACTCTGAAGACAGGACGTCACAAACAGAAATCTCAAAGCAAATTATCTTCTTGCCCCAGACTGGGACAGAGGGGTCAACAGTAACACAAAAGGCAAAATGTGTAAGAAAAAATTATGTAACAAGGGGTTGAAGGCAACTCTTTACAGCCCTGGAGTGGAGGAAATTCCCAGAACGGTTAAGGTGTGCACCCTCCCACGGGATGGCTCTGGTACTGTCTATGTCACACCTCCGTTTTCATGGGCCCTTAGTTACATGATGTCCGCCGTCCCTAAGATCCGAAACAGGCAATTTAGAGGGGAAACTATTGTTTCCCTCATCCTCTGACCGGCTCTGTCTTTTGTCTAGGGTACTTTCAAGGAAAATAACAGGCTGTAGAAAAAGGTTATGATTACAACCAGCAACCAAAGGCTTTGGAATAAGACACTAAACATGAGAGCGTTGTTTCAGGTTATCATTAAAACACAGTCCATGGGCTGCAGAGACGGCTCAGAGGTTAACAGCACTGTGGTTGTTCCTGCAGCGGAAACAGGTTCAATTCCCGGTACCCACATGACTGCTAACGCCTGTCTGTAACTCCAGTTCCAGGGGATCCGACACCTTTTTCTGGCCTCCACAGAAATGTATACATGGGATATACAGACAGACTCGCAAGCAAAACACAGGTACAAAATAAGTCTTAAATACACAAAGTGTAGTCGATAATAAACCTAATTTACATGTGGGCAGATAGATATGTGTGCAGCACAGAGCAGTAGGGGTAGGGCTGGGAAGGGCTCGGTGGATACACCAGCGTGAGGACCTGAGCTCCATCCATAGGACCACAAGGTGGAAGGAGAGAAGCTACCCTCTGACCTCAGGCACACATGCATACCCCGCCCCCCCACACACAGAACAAATAAACAAAAGGTAAAACCCAAATTTAAAAACTTTGTATTATTTATGTATGTTTATTTCTGCATGTATGTAATATGCACTATGTGAATAACTGATGCCCACGAGAAGAGGGTATCAGATTTCCTGGTACTGGAGTTACAGACGGTGGTAAACTACCTTGCGGGTGCTGGGTATTAAACCTGCCCTTTGGGTCCTCTGGAAAAGCAACTAGTGCTCTAACCGTTGATTTATCCCTTCAGTGCCATGCAAACCGAATTTTTAAGACCAAAATATCAAAGATAATTGCCAGCAGGAGCTGAAGTGATTTTAAAATAACCATTTATACTGTAAGTCTGTCAGAAAGAGTGGACGTCGGCTGGAGCGATGGCTCACTGGCTAAGAGCACTTGCTGCTCTCCCAGAGAACCCACGTCTGGCAGCTCACAATCGCCTGCTTAACTCCTGCTGCAAGGGACCCTTCTTCTCAGACTCCCATCTAACATGAGCACGCCACATAAATAAAAACAAAATAAACCCTAAGACTACAAAAGGAAAGCATAGACCTAAAAAGAAAAATGAATTTTGCTTCATAACAAATTAAATAGAGGTAAGAAAGCCAGTTAATAATTGAGCACTGTGTGCTAAAAACTATGCTGACCTTAAATACATCCATGGACTCAATTCTCACACAAAGTCTATGAACTTAGGTCGCCAAGGTCAGAGCACTGTATGTGGTCCAACCAGCATTCCAATCCAGGTCTTACTGCACCCAAAACGCATACAATGGCTCAAATGTCCACAACGTCATGAGCAAACACAAAATATAAATAGCAAACACTATAGAGCCCGCGTCTATTCTTCAGTACTGAAAAAGCAAAAATCTGCACCACCACCCCGTCACATCCTGTCATTTTAACCATTAGCTAGCCCGCATACCCCGAGGCTGCCAAAGAAATGCACTTCAGAGACTCCTTTACCTGGCCAGAGCTGCAGCAAGTAATGAAGAACTTCGATGTGCTTCTTAAAGTCCAAAGCACTCGCGAGCTCTTCGGAGTCGGTGAACACTCGGTGGTTGTGGGTCGTCTCTTGCCTCTGGTTGAGCAACACTGGTCCAAAGCACACGGCCAAATTCTGGCAGGTCATCTTATTGACTTCATGGTACGAAGCCACCAGTTTCAGGTGATCTAACAGCATCTTTAGGGTTGCCTGAATATGCCCAAGCATGAGTTAACCCACTCGGTGGCTAGACATCCACGTAAAATATTAGTATTATACTCTAAATGCCAATCGGCCCCCTTAGGAAAAGACATCTCCCACCAACTCCCTTCCTCATCCTCTCAAGCGACACCAGCAACTGCTGTTGGTTTAATCACAGACGACCCTGGGCTCACAAGAGGGTTGAGCGCATACTAGGAAGCCTGAGGTTGGGACCAGGGCCAGGCCTGAGGCCATCTAATATAAAAGGACGGCTTCCAAGGGACAACATGCTTCTCTCGTTTCCCCATCATGCTTTTCAACTAATAAATATTTTAAACAGACAAAATTATAAGGGGAAAATAATAGAATTTTAAAAATATGTATTTCCTGAGCTAAGCGTGGTAGTGTATGTATACCCTTTAATCCCAGCACTCAGGAAGCAGAGGCAGGTGGATCTCTGAGTTCAAGGACAGCCTGGTCTACAGAGAGAGTTCCAGAACAGCCAGGTCTACACAGAGAAACCCTGTCTCAAAATATATATATTTGCTTGTCCTGGAAAAAAAATACTGTCTTAAATCCTTAAATGAAAAAGGAAGTTGGCTCAAAGAGAAGTCATTTAAATATTAAGCACCTATGTAAGTGCTTAGTAAGAGCTATAATTTTTAAGCAGGGATGTATTTTATCAACATTTTAAGAAACGAGCTGCAGTTTCTCTATAAATTACATTAAACCAATGGATGTGTATTTACAAACTGCTATTTGGGGACTGGAGCGATGGCTCAGGTGTTAAGAGTGCTTGCTGCTTTTGCAGAGGACCTGAGATCAGTTCCTAGCACACAGACCAACAACTCCCAATGGCCTGCGACACCAGATCCAGGGGGTCTGGCACCCTCTACTTGATGCTGTAGGTACCAAGCATGTACGTGGTGCACATACATACATACATGCATACATACGTACATACGCACATACATACATACATGTACATCTTTTCCATATATACAATAATGTTCCTCAATTTTAATTTGCTAGACATTTCCTTCACTCCCTTTCTCTTTTATTGCTGTTGCTGTTTTTTTGTTTTGTTTTGTTTGTTTTTGTAGCCCTGGCTCAGAACTCACTCTGTAGACCAAGCAGGTCTCAAACTCACAGAGATCCACCTATCTCTACCTCTCAAGTGCTGGGATTAAAGGCGTGAGCCACCATTGCCCAGCTAGTAAAATAAATCTTTAAAGCAGGACTTGGAAGGCACATCCCTGCCTGGGCTAAAGTCATACACAGAAAACATAGAGCATTTAAGAAGTGGTAAAGGCAAATGCCACAAATGCCAGAGACCTACAAGACTGTGTGTGGTGATGGGGTTTAAACAATGAGCTCGTGGGCCAGCTTTCTGGAAAAGGTATGTCAAGAACACCTACCTTCTCCACATCCGGCAAGCAATTCAGCAGGCCAACAGTGAACTCGGAGTCACCGGACTCATTCTCACAACCATTTGATGACATTTTCAAAGGACTTTTCACCATGGCATCTAACACAGCCTCATACAGCTGCTTTGTTATCAGCGGGGAAGGAAGCTCTCTTAGATAGTCTTTAAGAACACCTGCAAAAACAGACCAGAGAGCAGCGGTGGGTCTCCACGGAGAGGTGAGCGCAGCCAACTCTTTATGGCAGTCAACTTTTGACCTTCTGAAAACAATACAAACAACAACATACAAAAGCACTGTCACAAAACACTGGCGATTTTTATCCGTGTGAGTTTCCTTAGCAACTAACTTTGCTTGGAACATGCTAAGACACATGTGTTGTGTCTCGATGAAAGATGCTCTTGCCACATAAACCCTATCGACCCTGCCCCCGTGAGAAGACCCTGCACGTGCAAAAAACTAGAAAGTAAGACCTACAGATGCTAGCCGTGAGCTACTCGACCACCCAAACCAAAGGGCACCAGCTGTTCAAAGCCTTCGTGAACCATCTGGGGACATCAACATCTCTCCTCTCTAGGGCCACAAGCGCACCTTAAACAGATATATACTAGATTGTTGTCTCTAAGGCTACGCTGTCATACAAAAGAAAAACAAAATCATCCCTGATACCAAGCAAACTAAAACAAAAGTCAAAAACAGAAGGCATCGGACCTGTCACCATAAAGTTAAGAGGAGCCTGAAGAATGCGGCCGGCTGATGGTAAGCTTGTTTTAAAAAGCATTTGTAACTCAGCAGCAGAGAGGAAGGCTGACCTGCTTCTCGGCCAGGTCCCGGGCTTTACCATCCCAGTGAGTCTGAGTGACATTGCTTGAAATAGGGTGAGAAAAAGAAACTACAGTTTATCAGGCAGGAAGAGTGTCTACGGGACATGTAAGGTTTCTCCATACAAAACTTAGGAAGGCCTGGCATTGGTGGCGCACGCCTTTAATCGCACTCGGGAGGCAGAGGCAGACGGATCTCTGTGAGTTTGAGACCAGCCTGGTCTATAAGAGCTAGTTCCAGGACAGCCTCCAAAACAATACAGAGAAACCCCGTCTCGAAAAACCAAAAAAAAAAAAAAAAAAAAAACTTAGGAAGACCAAAGAGCTGGCCCTGGGAATGAGCAACTTACGATAACTGAGACTCAGAGATGTAAGGATCTGAAGTTCAAAGTCATCCTGTTACACAGCAAATTCCAGGACACAGGGGGGGGGAAGAAGAAGAGACAGGGGGAAAGGGGGTAAGGGGGGGAAGGGGGAGAGAGGGGAAGAAACAGAGGGGGAGGGAGGGAGAGAGCACGTGCCCGGAAGCAAAGAACAGTATCAAAAGATGACTAGGAAGTAACTCCATCATGATAAGAGGCTCTCTCAACCCCAGCTAAGGAGGAGTACAAAAGACCCTGTGGTTAGAAAAGGTGTGTCGGGGATGAGTAGAAAGACAGATGTGGCCAAGAAGGACAAAAGCTGCTTCACCACAGGCTCTGAGGCATCAAATGACGCACACTAACAAGTAGGTAAGGTATGAACAGCCAGAAACGCCATGGAGAGCAGTCCGGTCCAGCACCACAGCACCAACATCTATCTGCCAGGGGCCAGGCCCTGGATGTGAGCCTATGGCAAGGGGTTTCTGTAGCTCAGGTCTAGGAGACAATGACCAAGAGGCAATTAGAGATAAGGATCAAAGGAGGAAGAGAAAAGGAAATCGGCCTCCTTGGCAAGCAGCTGCCGGCAGTAGGGGCGGAGCTAGGCGGCTGGTTAGATGAATGGCATGAAAGACAGCAGAGAAGTCTCCAAGGCCCAGGAGACAGGGATTGCACCCAACTGGGGACATCCCCAGAGAAGAAAGCAGAGACTCCTGAGAAAACGGGAAGGGCTGGGATCAGTTCAAGACATCAGGACGAGATCGTTTGTGCCCAACACTCAGGGTGTGGGAGGGTGAGAAGAATCTCCAACAGAGCGGTCAAGGCGGACGCGCCGCCCCCAGCTGACGGCCCCCCATCTCTGTGCTGTGAGGGGCCGGGGTGGCCTCCATCTCTGTGCTGTGAGGGGCCGGGCAGCCCCCATCTCTGTGCTGTGAGGGGCCAGGCAGCCCCCATCTCTGTGCTGTGAGGGGCCGGGCGGCCCCCATCTCTGTGCTGTGAGGGGCCGGGCGGCCCCCATCTCTGTGCTGTGAGGGGCCGGGCGGCCCCCATCTCTGTGCTGTGAGGGGCCAGGCAGCCCCCATCTCTGTGCTGTGAGGGGCCAGGCAGCCCCCATCTCTGTGCTGTGAGGGGCCGGGGGCATCAGTAAGTGACACGGTGACCCGTGAGGAGAGTAAGATACCTTCAGACGCCCGAAACAACAAGGGGTGGAGCACAGAGCAGGGTGGGGGAAAAAGCACGAGTGGGGGTGGGTAACAGAAGGAGAAAAAAGCAACCCCAACCCATTAGCACCAAGAAGAGTTAAATACGTGCAGGAGCAAAACAGGTACAAAGCTTTACTCAGAAAACTAACAAAGTCTCTTTAAAAAACAAACAAACATAGGAGATCTTCAGAATAAAGCAGATCCTAACAGCTAGGAGCCAGGGGCATAACTCAGTAGTAGAGTGTTGGCCTAGCATCTTCAAGTCTTGGAGTTGATCCCCATTATCACCAAACAAATAAACAAAATGCAAACTGATCCTAAATTCAAACAGCCTGATTATCGTGGGAAGGAAAATGTGGGGACTAAAAGCTGACGATTTCAAGTCTTGCTGAGCTGCAGTCGTCAGTGTGTGACACGGCGGGCATTGAGATGTGCAGCCCAACAGAGTAACGAGGAGAGCTCATCATCTGGGAGCTAGAGAGATGGCGGCTCCCTGGTTGCCAAGCATCTGTAACTCTAGTTCCAGGGGCTCCAGCTCCCTCCTCTGACCTCAATAGGAACCACGAAAGCCCAAGTGCACATACACACATGCAAGGAAACCACTAATACACAAGACAAACTGAAAAGAAAACAGTCAAGTGCAATAGGGAAAAGGAATCAAGCAGATACCCACTTGCTAAAGACTAAAACACCCTTACAAAGTGAGTAACAGATCTAAATGTAAGAGGTAAAAATTATGAAACTCTCAGAAGAAAATGATGAATATTCTCACAAACTTACGGTGGACACAGCCTCATATTTTCAGTGGAAAAAAGTTAGAATCATCAAAACTAAGATTTTTTTTCAAAGGACACCATCAAAAGAGTAAAAAGACAATCCACACAAAGGGGGAAAATACAAAATATTAGTATATTGTTTATTAGATTAGGGGCCTGAACCAGAATACACAAAGAAAACATCAGTCTAATAATAAAAGCAAGCATCTAAAAGGGGCAAAAGTTCCTAGTCAGTTTCTGAGGCAGACAGTCGAAAAGGTCAGTAACTAAATGATACATCAGTACTTAGGAATAAATAGAATAAAACGTTCAAACACACACACACACACACACACACACACACTGTAAAGGACAGTAAACTGCGGAGAGAAATTAAACACAACCCTGAAGGAGAATAGATGTCAATTCTTCTCAAATTGATGCTGTAATGGTAATCAAAAGCTCAACAAGCTTTTCCTCGCCCCATACTGAATTCCCCTCACATCCCCGCTCCCCCAGCCCCTACAGCAGTGCTAGGGACAGCAACTGAACCTAGGTTCCCAGGTGCTGGACACAGCCTCCGCATTCAGGAGCCATCACTTATCCACAAAGGGATTCTTGTAAAGTTATATGGATACTCAGGACCTGTGACAGCAAAAGGAAAACGCAAAGCGCTGAAGCTGGAAAGGCAGACTTCCTGTATTAGTTTTCTAACGCTGACAGGATACCAGAGCAGGCAGCTTTCTGTTATTGGTTTTGTTTCACTGAGTCTCTTACATATCCCTGGCTGCCCTAGGACTCACTCTGAAGATCAGACTGGCCTCCAACTCACAGAGATCCGTGTGACCCAAGAAGAGCAGTGTTTTAAAGAAGAGTTTAATCTGGCCCATGGTTTTGGGGGTTCAGTTCATGGCTGACTCCACGGCTAGGCCTGAGGTGAGGGGAGCTACCACCTTACAGCTGTCAGGACACTGAGGGCACCAGAAAGAAACTAGGGACAAGGAGCAGCCTTGAAGGTCACACACCAGTGACAAAGTTCCCTCAGGCAGGCCAGGCTTTCCAGCTTCCCACCATCTCCCGATAATGGTATCAAATTACAAGTCCACCCATGGGTTAATCCACTGAGGGAGGATTCAATCATGGCCCCCAAGCTCCATCCGCAAACACTTCTTCTCAAGGATCGCCAATCCAAACCACAACGGTACCAGAAAGTCCAAGTCTCATTGCACAACTCACACAATAAAGACAAGCGTGGATTCGGCGTCACTAGACACACATACGAGTCTACAACTTGTGCGTGAAATGTCCACAGCCGCTTTATCTGTAACAACCCCAAACTGGGAACAAAGAAACGGTGCTCTAGAGATGAACAGATGCACCGCACCGATGGTCTTATGTCCACTCTATCCATAGCGGGGAACACCGGCATTAAAAAAGAAACAGGCCATAGACACTTGGAATAACGTGGGGGGATTTCAAAATAATTTTGTTAGTAAAAAGGAGAAGCCCCTCCTGTACAGTTCTATTATATAACTTCTAGAAAATGAGATCAGCTTATAGCAACAGGAAGATCTCCCTAAGGATGGGAGCACAGTGGTGGTGGTGCAGACAGGAGAGACTTAGAAGGACATAAGGGACGCTTGTGTCCTTTACACTCACTGTGGCGACGGTTTCATGGTGCACACGTGTGTGAAAGCACCCAGCCGCACACTTTCTATGCATGCATCTTAGTTTAGTTTATGATGGCAATTACGCCTCGATTAAGCTGTTACGTAAAACTAACTACCGGCATTTCAGGGCGGGAGCTTGGCCAGATGGGAGAAACACTACGAGGCCGAGGAAGACTCTCGGGACATCTGATGGAAGTAACTGACAGGATCAGCCACAGGAAGGAGTACTGGAACAGTGGGGACTTAGGGGGAAATGAATGAGAAAGCCTGGAGGGACAGGAGAGGACAGACCGGGAATGGAATCAGTTTCTGGGTGACAAAAACCAGGTGAGATCTTAGGAGTGAGCCACTGGAGTCGGGTTGATGTAAGGGTCACCAGGACAGGTGGCACACACGTAATCCCACCTAGTTCTTGGGAGGCTAAGGCAGGATTGTAAAGTTGAGGTGGTCTCCATAAACAAGCCACTTGGGGTAACAAAGAACTACTAATCTAGCATTCTAAACCTGTTGTGTGCATGCTAAAGCTGCATTTAAAATGATAGAAACTATAACCAGAAACAAGGCATCAGAGACCTCACTCACTAAGTTCTGTGCCTGTTCTAAAAGCCCCTTGTCTGGAGCACTCGATTCTCTTCAGACAAAAAGACTACTAAACACACATAACTTCTGACCACACTGAAGCATTCGCTTCGTTCACTTCTGTGTGTAGACTCACTTAACTATTATTTTCACAAGTTTACACAGAAATATGAGTTCATGTAGAATATAAACATCACTGGCCACTTCCCAAACCCACAGCACTCTCTTTGGAGACACAGAGGCCCTGTGTGTAATTTATCCCAATTCCAGTGCTATTTCTCAGACAAATCATTTCATGGTTTTTTTGTTTGTATTCTTAATAAAGAAAACATCTCCAAATTCCTTTGAAAAATAGCCTAACTGAAATGGAATAGCGCAAATAACAGAGGCAAGCATGCAGCATGTCGTTTGCGGCCTTTGACTCTCGGGTTTAGAAAGGAGTGTTACAAACCAGACCCTCACTAACCTGTGTTCACGTCTACAAACACTGCCAGTATCCACACCCAAGGATCCCTTCTTAAGCAAAAGTCGTCTCAAATCACACCTCCCATCTCCAAACACTCACAGCTACTCTTATTCCTAAGCTAAGGCTTCACTGAGACAAAAATTCCCTTTCGTTTATACTCTCCTAGAAGCAGGTATCTATAAGCTTTTCCTTTAGTGAATTCTTAAAGTGAATCCCTTGCTAATTGTACAAATTATATGTTATCTCATTTTTTCTTTTAAGTAATAAGCCTCTCTTTACTAAAAACTTACTTTCTGATTTGTTAAAAATTTATCTGAGCCAGGGACGGGGAAAGGCGTGGGATCCCAAGTGCTGAGATATTCTTTGTGTGAGATGCTTGTCTTTTAGACTGGATCAATTTTGTGTAGCTCAGTGTGCCCTTGAACTAACAGAGATCCATCTGCCTCTGTCTCCCAAGTCCTGGGATTAAAGGTGTGTGCCACCACTGCCCAGCTTCTATAGCTAACTAGTGTGGCTGGTGGAACTAACGGAGAGTATCACCACTGCTGGCTCTACGGCTGTGGCTGGCTTTGCATTTTTATCCCCAGCGGCTTTGTTAGGTCATAAACAATATGTCACCACATCCCAGCACCCACATGGCAACTCAAAACTGTAACTCCAGCTCCAGAGGATCCAACACCCTCACACAGACATACATGCAGGCAAAACACCAACTCACATAAAATAAAAAAATCATTTTTTAAAAGTTCCAAAAGAAAGTAAATAAATGAAATGTCCATAAGAAAGGGAAAATACCTTGGCTTGCTTCTCTCAGTAGTGAACTGCTTTAGGTCAAAGTTACATCATTCAAGACGCTAGGAAACATTCTATACAGGTTTCTGTATGAGTCACTCAGCACCCTGAGCCGGCACTTCAACTACTCCTAAAGCTGCGATCCTAAAAGTAAACTTCAAGGTACAATATCAGTATGTAGTAAGTGACTTTCCTTAAACTCTTCCCTAAAAGTAATCATGTATAAAATAAGAAACCAGGAGAGGTAGATATCAACACATCAGGAAAAAGAAAACGACAGACAACAGAGCACAGAAAATTAAACTAGCAAAGACACTGAAGACAGGAACCTCTGAGCGAGGCGTCTGCGGCAAAAAGGGCTTGGTGTCCTGGGTTTGCTTCTCGACAATCTCGGGCTGGAGAGGACCAAGTAAAGGGGAGAGAAGACGAGTCTGGCCACAAGATGTGAACTAGGAAAACCAGGTGATGCACCTCTACCCTGGCTCCAACACTTTAGTAGCTTAAAAAGTAAAGCCACAGGAAACTGTAGGTGACAACGTAGACCCAGAAGATTCCCGGGAAGTAAGGGCAGGACAATCTCAAATGCTAACGCCTTTCCCATTCTCCCCTCGGATGTCCCCTCCTCAAGACTGCTGCATGCACACTGGCCCACGCTGTCTGTGACCTGCCGACTTGCACCATGAGTAACCTCCATTGGCCCACACAGCAATCACCTCCGCTGGCTCTGGTTTCCCAAAGTCTCCGTCTCTTCCCAACTTTCCAAGCTTCTTTCTTTGCCTGCCTCCAAAATTGAGAGACTGCCCCAAGTTCCTGTCTTTTTAAACTGTTATGGACAATCCCAGGACTGAGTTTTCTATGCCATTTTTTAATGCCTCACAACCGCTGGTTTGCAATGTCACTAGCGGGTATGGTGGCCCTGACCCACAACCCCAACACATGGAAGGGTGAGGCAGGAGGATAGCAGACCTTGTCTCGGGAGGGGAAAGGAACACCTCAGTCCCCACTACGGCTTTTCCTCAGCAGCAGGTGGGACCTCTCCACCACATCCTCTACTTGAAAAACTCAATGCTTAATCTTTCCCATTGTTCTGCAGCTAAAAAACGGTATCCCTGCTTCCACTCATCTATTTCTGCGGACAGGACGTATGACCAGCCACGGTTCGGAATCGTGTGTCTTTCTTGGCTTTGGATGCCTGTTTGCCCTGCACCCGCACCCCACCCCCGCTGCCACATGTCTTGGTCTGGGTTCCCTGACCTCCTCTTCACAGAGCAGATTAACACCCCCTCAAAACAGCCTCTAGTGGCCCCACCCCCTACCCGAGGATCTTTGAGGGAGCCCCTCTGCCTGTTAAATGATCTAAATCCTCTCATCAGACTAGCCATCTCCTTTCCATCAGCCACCTAAGCTCCAGTCAAACTGAACCCCTGGGGCATTTTAGTTCCCTCCATGAAGACACTGGGTCTGCTGCAGTGAATTTAGTCCAAGTCTCACTCTGCCCATCACTGGCTGTTTAAGAATATCTCCCCTCAGAAAATACCACTCAGTAGTTCATAGAGGAAGGAAAGTAAGACTTCAGAAGAAAATCAGATCAAGCGCAGGTTTTAAAAGCAGATTTCCGCTTTCCTTCCTTCCGGGGTAGTCTTTCCAGAGTGAACACAGAATAAAGTCTATTTTTACCTGTTATTACATTTATATCTGGGTACTGGTTTTCACACAGACCAACAGTTTTGCTATCCTTCTCAAAAGCCTCTCGAAGCTCTTTCTTGACAGCTGCTGAACCACACAATCGATACAGGCCTACAACCTGGAAACAAAACGCCACGTTATGGAGACGGTCATGAAGGCAATGGTATAAATCACATGAACTTGGCAATCGAAATACCCTACCTACATTCATTGAAGTACCCCAAATGCAACTTCTAGGATCTCAAATCAGTTGATTATACAATGATGGGAAAAAAATAAAGCCTATTTTAGGCAAAAATAGTTGGTAAAACAAAAGGTAAAATAAAGCCTATTTTAAAAGTCATATAACAGTTACATAGACAGTGCTTACTCCAGGCCCTACAAAAACACTTATCAGGTAAACCTGGCCAGCTATTCTAATTAAGTCTTCACAAGTTCAACACACACCCAGGAGAGGAAGCCAACCTGGTCCCCCCCCAAAATAAACAAACAAATAAATAAATCTCTGACTAATCTACTAGATGCTTTTGAAAAACTAAACCTCAAGTAATTTAAGGAAATGGGGGGGGGTAGTCCAGCTAATAGAATGCCCTGAGTACGATCCCCAGCACCATAGAAAAACCTGGTGTGGTGGAGCACTGCTCTGTGGTCCCAGCGCTTGGGAGGTGGAATTAGGAGGGTCAGGAACTCAAGATCAGTCTTAGCTGCATAGTAAATTCAAAGTCAGCCTGGACTACAAGAGACTGGGGAGGGAGGGAGGGAGGGAGGGAGGGAGGGAGGGAGGGAGGGAGGGAGGGAGGGAGGGAGGGAGGGAGGGAGGGAGGGAATTTAAGGAGAATAAGGGATTGTCACCTATACTTGAAAATCAAAAGACTATTTAGGAAGTGGCCACCGAGTTGAAGGAACAGTTACAGAAAACTATTTTACAATAACGAAACATGAACAATCCTCACAAGCTTGAATCAGGGGCCCACAGAGTATTTTAAGTGAGCCAGAAGATAAAGAAGTCAAATGAAAGTCCAGGCTCTCTTCTGAATCGTTAAATAGCCGAAAGACAGCAGCAGAGAGGTAGGTTTCAGACAGGAAAGCATCACTAACAACATGGACAAATGGTGTCCAAAGAACTCAGACGACCAGCTGTGCTAACTGAAACATGGTCAAAGACCTGAATCCACTTCAAAGACATAGACAAGCATTCGAAGTGCTCCTATCTGCAGAGGGGTCAACAGCAGGCAAGGAACGTCAAGGAATGTGCTAGAAAGGCGATTCTCACTCTCAGGGTCATAACTGTCCTGAGCCACTGATACCGAGAACAGCACGTTAGGGCTGCCGTGTCGTCTCAGGAAACACGGTGAAAACACAGGGAACCGCACGCGCCTGGTGCAGACACACATGCAGGCAAAATGATAAAAAGGGGAATCCAGGCGGCCGGCAGATGTGACATCTGGAGAGGCCCCCTTCTCTGTAATGATAAAAAGGGGAATCCAGGCGGCCGGCAGATGTGACATCTGGAGAGGCCCCCTTAACATCTGGAGAGGCCCCCCTCTCTGTAATGATAAAAAGGAGAATCCAGGCAGCCGGCAGATGTAACATCTGGAGAGGCCCCCCTCTCTGTAATGATAAAAAGGGGAATCCAGGCGGCCGGCAGATGTAACATCTGGAGAGGCCCCCTCTCTGTCAAGATCCTGACTAGCAAACAGAATCCACTGGCTGGGAGAAACCACAGATAAGGTTAAGTTTGATAAGCTATATCTTTAAAATGTACAGGACAAAGAAAATAAAGTAAAAATGTTAAACAGGATCAGGGGGATGTTTCCATAGTAAAAGAAACCAATTGTTTTACAGCCCTTTGGATAAAGGCCCATTTAAGTATAATAAAATTCTAAAATATTAGCCGGGCATTGGTGGCACACGCCTTCAATCCCAGCACTCGGGAGGCAGAGGCAGGCGGATCTCTGTGAGTTGGTCTACAGAGCGAGTTCCAGACAGCCTCCAAAACAACACAAAGAAACTCTGTCTCAAAAAACAAAAGAAAAAAATCCTATAATATTTATTAAAAAATAAAGATTTATACCTTTGAACTTGAAGACAAAATAAACCTAAGACAGAATAAAGTACTATTTAAGACACTAGACAATAAGTTGATCAGACATTTTATCCCCAGAAGTTCACACAACAAACAGATTTGTAAAGGACGGAGAAGTGAATGTCTGCCGTGTCCATCAAGGAACAGACACTGGGACACTGATGCTATAGCCTCAGTTCAGAGGCTCAGGTGACACTGATGCTATAGCCTCAGTTCAGAGGCTCAGGCACAAACACACCTAAGCTACCGTGCATGGGCCATGAGTGTGACCTCTGGTGTGACCTTTCCCATCGGAAGCAGAGGCAGCAGAGTCCAGGGCATCTACAAGAAGCACACGTCCGAGCCACACCCTCTCTTTGTACATGAATCTCAAATGGTTTCACAGCGAAAAAGCAGAAACAGTAGTGGGGACACACAAAACTTGAATGGTGGCAATGTGTGGCAGGCTGCACAGCGCAGGTTTAATAGGCCTCTTTCCACTGGGTCTCTTAGACGGGAGAGAAGGGGCGGGCTCAAAAGAGATACTTCTGAAAAATATGCAACTTTCTAAAGCGATTCTTCTAGTTATTATTTTATTACGTGGACAGGCATTTGCCTACATATATGTCTGTGCACTATGTGAATGTCTGGTGCCCACGGAGGCTGGGAGGGGTGTTAAGTCTCCTGGAAATGAAGTTACAGACAGTTGTGAGCCACCGTGTGGTTGCTGGGAATCATGTCCAGGTCATCTGCAAGAGCGGACAGATCTCTTATCTGTTGAACCATCTCTCTAGGCCCAAAAGACTTATTTTTAAGTGTGCACGCACATGCGTGCGTGTGCGTGCGTGTGTGTGTGTGTGTGTGTGTCCACATGATTACAGGCCCTGAGTGTGTGTGTGTGTGTGTGTCCACATGATTACAGGCCCAGAACTGTCAGCTCCCCTAGAGCTGGAGTTACAGACAGACAAGCTGCCAGACATGAGTGCTGGGAACAGAACCTGGGTCCTCTGTAGGAGCAGCAGGAACTCAACCACTGAGCCATTTCTCTACCCTGCCCTACACCAAATACAACGCCTGCAATGTCAGTACTTTGGAAGTGGAGGCAGAAAGATCAAGAGTTCAGGAGCAGTGTTTAAAATTAACACACAGTTCCAAACGCACTGTTGAAAGTTTTCCGGTCACAGAAAATCTGTATTTTGTATTACAATCACAGAGCTGTCTGTTCTGAGTGTGCACCGGTGTGTGTGTACTTGTTCTGGTTGTGCACCGTTGTGCCGTGGTTCACGGTCACCTAACACCATGTGAGTCCCATGTTGATCAAATCAGGTCAACAGTCTTTTACCTGCTGAGCATCTCCCTAGCCCAGGAGAGCTTTCTTAAAGAAAAAAAAAACAAAACTTTCTAAACTTTTACACAAGTAAGAACCACTGCTAAAAGCAAGAGTCTTTAGGTTTTGTTTGTATGTTTGTTGAGACCAGGTTTCTCTGCTTAGCAGCCCTGGCTGTGCTGGAACTCACTCTGTAGACCATGCTGGCCTCGAACTCAAGGGAGCCACCTGCCTCTGCCTCCAGGGATTAAAGGCGTGTACCCCCATCACCCCGCAAAAACAGCAGTCTTTATACATCCGCTTTATGCACATTTTAGAGAATAAACTGATACGTAGTATTGCTTGAGTTCCTTATTTTAAATTGAAAAGCTTCTATTTAATGATTAACTTTAAAGTCTACCCAATCCCTGAGCTGCGACACAGGGTGGAGGCAGGGACAGAAGAGGAAAGGGAAAGCCCTATGAATAAAACGTAGCTGGCTGGAAGTCGGGCTGTACCGTGGGCGGCCTGCTCCAAAGAGACAACAGAGACTAGACAGAGTCATGCGTCTCAGCTGAAGATCTTTCAGAAGGCTACACACCCTGCTTCTGACTACCACTTTCAAACGGTGTTACAAATCTTTTTTTTTTCCTACAGGTTGCCTTTGCATTCCTATTTTAGAAACACGGAAAGATGTTTCTACGGTTAAGAACCCTGATGCTCTTCCAGAGGAGCTGGGTTCGGTTCCTAGCACCCACATGGTCACTCACAATCATCTGTAAATCTAGTTCCAGGGCATTCCAACCCCTTCCTCAGCCTCCATGGGTTCCAGGCACACACCATACAGGCAAAATACCCACACACATAAGGAACAAAATTTAAAAAACATGGACACGTGTTCTGATCAGAGGGAGCTGTCCTCACCTCACAGGCGGCCCCAGAGTAAAGACAGGGGCATGTGTGGACGTCTGGAGTGGGAACAGACAGAATAAGGATGAGGCGTGAAGTCAGACCCTGTGATCCACTGTTGGAACCGCCCTGGATTTCACAGAAACGTGTACCAAGGGACCCAGCCTTTCTGTGTTACCAGCTTCCCTAGACAAGTCGTTGTAAAGAAATCTAGTCCCTTCCAGTCCTGAAGCCCACACAGTTCTCTTTCAGAACATAAACTGTGGCACCATCTAGCAGGCTCTCAAATCACGGGCAACAAAAGCTAAGATGTGACACACACTCCAAAAATAACGTAATACAAGTATAGCAGGGCTGGGGAAAATGTCTAAATCTTCTTTTTTCAACCTTACCATGAATTCCCTTCCTCAAGCTTAACCACCAACTACTAAGGGGAGGCAGGGAACACAGCGCAATACCTGGCAGCCCCTCCTTTCGATCTCCAGGATGCACTTCTGTATCAGCAGCGGAACCATCGAGCCCACGTTTTCTTTCTCTACGACCTTCTGAATGTCAACACCGAACATGACCGAGTCACGGTTTTTATCCAGGCCGTGGAGAGAATTCTCCCACTGTTCCATGAGGGTCACCTTGACGTAAATAAGGCCTCTGGGCTCAAGTTTGACAGCCAGCTGATGCGTCTTTGTCACTCTGAACAAAGTGGGCAGGACAACTGTGCCATGGCAGCACACACGGTTCCTCCTTGGAGTGGCCTCCCAGCTGAACACCACCAGTTTCAGATGCTGCGCATTTTCGATCTCTATGTTGAAAGTGTGGTCCATGTCTAGAAACGTCGTCCGACACGTGAGCAAAGCTGTTCTGGCTTTGTTGACTGAGTCTACCTGAATTGCACAAAAGACATCTTTGGAGTCTATCCGGGGTGGCTTTAAACCCTCTGCGCCATAGAAGTGCACGCTCATGAGCCCCGAGATGTACTGTGAGCACTTGGGTTGGTCAGCAAAGCTGTAATGTCTGAAGGCATCTGTATCTAGTTCGTTTTTGCTACAACCGCTCGGAATGGCTTCCCTCCCTTTCCCAAGTTTGTGCTCGGATCCATGCTTGCTGGACTTGGTTCTCAGTTCGGGTGAGTCGCCGTCACTGAGGTAGCCGCCTTTGCAGGAATACTTGGAGCTGCCGGGAGCTTTCTTCCGGTAGTTGTGCTGAGATGATACAGTGGTATCGAGATGGTACCGGCTTATCACGTTCCTGGTTGGGTTCCCAGGGGACAGAGTAACACTATGAGGCAGTTGGCGACAGTTACACTTAGACAAAGAAAGGGTACTATCTGGACTGCTCATGTAGTGCGAGGCTCCCCTGGAGCCCAGCTTTCGGCTGAATTCTGGCAACCTTTTCATTTTCATGGAAAGTTTCCTCACAGTGCGTGGAGATTTTATTTTATCTGGCAAGGACCAAGTGATTGAGCTGCCTTTCTTCACAGGGCTAGGGCTTGGAGAAGATGGTTCCATAGCTCTCAGCTCAGTCCTGTTTGTAGAAACGAAGACCCCAGGGCCTTAAAAAGAAGAGAGAAGAGGATTATAAAGAGAGCGTACCAACTTCTTATTCCCACTTTCTAAGCAGGCCGGCTGTCATGTGGCCAGGGTCTCGGGGTCCCTGTTGACGTTCCCCGCTGCGGAACACTGCAGGGAGTGGACACCCCTTAAGTGACGGCTCACGTTTTGGAGGAATTGGACAAGCATCCATCTCAGAACACCCACCTAGAAACACAGCTCCAACACACATGCTGCTTCTGCAATTACAACCCTCTGAAGCCCAGTGTTACACACAGCAGTGTTCACTTTTAAAACAGTGAAAAACCACGAAGTCTGCAATCGGGCAGCAGAGAGAGAGGCCTAGAATATTAGGGTATTCTACATCCAATTAAACTTCCTGGTAAGCTGGTTCTGGCAAAACACGGATAGAATATGCTAAGTGATAAATGTCTGGTTAAAAAGGACGGATTAATCAATTCCAGTTTTGAGTCTTTACACACTCCTCCTAAGTGTTCAAGTTAATCAAACAAGATAAAAATATATTCTGAAGCCAGGTGGTTTTATGATGCACACCTTTAATCCCAGCACTCAGAAGGCAGAGGCAGGCGGATCTCTGTTGAATACGAAGTCAGCCTGGTCTTAAAGCGAGTTCCAGAACAGCCAGAACTGTTATGTAGAAAAATTTTGTGTCAGAAAACCAAAATCTATAAATAAATGAAAGGGAAAAAAATGTTCTGAAATATGTAAGTTAAAATTTCCTTTAAAAAAAATGCAGTGCAGGGCAGTGGTGGCACACACCTTTAGTCCCAGCACTCGGGAGGCAGAGGCAGGTGGGTTTCTGAGTTCGAGGCCAGCCTGGTCTACACCAAGAGACCCTGTCTTGAAAAATACCCCCCCCCAATTAAACATCATCCCACCTATTTCATGCCCAGATTTTGTCTACTTCTTTAGATAAAGATCTAATAGCCTTAATGCCAGAATATAACCTCAGCAAAACTATTTCTGGATTAAAATGAGACCCACTCAGAATTAGTAGACCGAATGACCTTTCTCTAAATCATTAACAAGAAAGCCGTCCTCCGCCCATCCCTGTATCCTGATGACAAGCACTGTCTTTCTACAGAAGAGGACTGTTTTAAGCAGGCATACTGGGCTTTTCTGGTAAACAGCTGTAAGGAATGGAGTGCTTGCATACTAGACAAAGAGAGCGTTGTACTGCCAATCACAAACAGTCCTACTGGCTCACTGGCCTAGAAGATGCCATGGCCATCAGGGTCCTGCTTTATCTAACATTAACCTATTCTGTTACAGATAGGCAGCTCGGTGTATTAAACTGCTCTGGGTGTTCCTACATTACTAAGGAATCTGACAATCTGATTCTTTTAATACACTGTTAATAAGCAGTTCCTACATAGGTCGTTAATTGCTAGAGATTCTACTGCAGATGAGAGGGAATTTATTAAAACAAAAGCGTAGGGCCACAGAGATGGGTCAGGAAGTGCCCTCTGCATAAACACAAGAGCCTGAGTTCAAGTCCCAGGTGCCCTCATGTGATCAGTGTGCTACAGCGAGCCAGGCGGTGAAGATAGGCGGAGGCAATCGGGCATAAGCAGCGGTAAATAACGAAGAGAGACTTCCTGCCTCAAACAAGGTGGAAGAAGAGAACAGATACCCAAGGCTGTCCCTGACATGCACTCGTATACACACGCCCGCACATACACACACACATGCACGCAGGCACACACGCACGCGAGTTGCTTTGATTTTTATAATTTAAGAGTTGAACAACTAAAAAATTCTATTGTCGTTGAAACTAGAATTACACCACCAAACAGCTATGAGATGTACAAAACGAAAAATACTTAACTATGCACCAATATGTACGGTGTGTGTTGTACCAAACTACAAGGGCTGGGTCCTCTAGGAGCTGGAGCCACGGGTGGCTGTCATTGTGAGCAAATGTTGTGGTGCTGGGACCCAAACTCACCGTAAAGCTGAACCGTGGCTACCCGAGACGTCTCCCCTTTATAAGGGCAAAGTATAACACACAGCCGACATCATCTATGTTTCCTATCAGACTTGAAAAGAACATTCAGGTGTGCCATCATTGTTACCTGTGACAGCGGGCCTCAACACGGGGCTGTCCTCTGCCACCACGCCTCGTGTCCTGGGCCCTAACCTCTGCTTGCACTGCTGCACAGCCTCTGTAGAACGGAGGGGATCTGCAGAAGTGACGGCATTTGGCTGTATGGTCTGGAGATCACCTGCGTGTTGGGCAGGACACAGCAACTCTGCCTTCCTCGGGTCTCTGGCAGACAGCATGCTCACACCGAGGGCAGGGAGGAGCTTCGCTGCGGCAGCGTTTCCCTCAAGAGGCATGACACTGGCTACGCCCAGCTCGTCTTCCTCAGGGATGGGATTGTACCATATTTCTCCTTCATCATCAGCATCGTTGTCCTCACTGAAGTCTAAAGAGCAGTTTCCAGGTAAGGGAGGGCTGGCCGCGTTACACATCCAACGTGGGCAGTGTTCCTTGGGGGACTTGCAGAACGGCGGTGACTGCCTGTGTCGGGGTGGAGACACGGGGAAGAGGGAGAAATCTCTTCTGCCTTGGCACTGCTTAGTCTCTTCCAGACTCTGCCACCTCAGGGTGCTCTGATACAGCCAATTGCGTTTCTTTGCAACAGTGATGTTGTTAAGGGGCTGGCGACCTCCAAGCCCAGCATTATCTTTCCCATCTTCAGGTCCCCTTTTCCTCAGTGGAGACCCACAGTCATTCTCAAATAAGTCTGCTTCAAAGGAGAAACAAGAGAACATGATAATGTCGCATAGAGCAGGAAAGGCATGTCACTTCGGACCAGCTACTAAAATGTTTAAAATAGAAGTGATATCAATTATATTCACAGATCAAGTCAAATTACAAAAACATTAATTTTTTCCACTGAAATATAATTTCAATTGGAAATTCAAGTGGTTATGTAAGCGTTACGAAAGTCTAAGGGGGAAAAAAAAGAAGCTAACACTGCCTTTATTGCAAAATACAACAGTGCTCGAGTCTCACCCTAAGCAAAATAACTTATAGAAAGTTTCCAAAGAAACTTTTTTATATACCAGTATGTTTTGATATCTGAGTAATATTCAACTCACTATTAGAAGGGCCAGAAGTCATGAAAAAGCACAAGTAGCATTCTTTTACTTTCACAGAGATTAATTTTTAATAAAAGTCTTTACATTTTAACAAAAACTGAAAACTTTAATTAAAGCACAAACACAAGGAGCAGATAAGTGTTGAACAAAATAGCACTGTCTCACAATGCAGTGATGACCCCAGATACTTACATGTGCAGGCTGTCAGTACAGGGTTACAATGTTATCAGCCTGTTACCTTACTGTCAACTAAAGAAGTGTATGCTTCCTAAGAGCTAAGTGGCAGTGAGTGACTAAGCTAAGCATGTGTCCATCAAAACAGTTCCTTACACATAATTAAAGAACAGCCACATTTGTGAAATCTGAGATCCATTATATTTTTAAACTTACTATTATTACTTTATAGTATTATTAAATTATACTATTATTATAGTCTGAATATATAGATATATACCTAATTCATCTTGCTATATCAAATAAAACAATGATTTAATAGCAGTGGTAACAACACATTAAGCTATGAGAAGCTTCATAACAAACAAAAAATTAGGTTCATGTATATAATTAAGGCTTTCAGTAGCCTTCCTTTAAAAATGTAAATTTACTATTCACTTTTTTTTTTTTTTTTTTTTTTTGGCTTTTCGAGACAGGGTTTCTCTGTATTGTTTCGGAGGCTTTCGGTCCAGCCTGGCCTCAAACTCACAGAGATCTGCCTGCCTCTGCCTCCCGAGTGCTGGGATTAAAGGCGTGCGCCACCACCGCCCGGCCACTATTCACTTTTTAAACCTAAGCAGGTACTCAACCAAGCATTTAATTAAAGCAAAACCTTATCACAAAATGAGGGTCAAGTTCAAATGTTTCTAGAAACAATCTAGACTAGCTCTTTTGTTTGCTTGTTTTGTTTTTCCAGACAGAGTTTCTCTGTGTAGCTCTAGCTGTCCTGACACTATCTCTGTAGACGAGACTGGCCTCAAACTCAGAGATCCGCCTGCTTCTGTCTCCCGAGTGCTCACTTGGCTAGACTAGCTCTCAAGAGTTCCTACTATGTAAGTCATGGATCTACTCAATAAGTGACTACTATGTGCCAGGCAAGAGAGAGAATGCAGCAAGGAGCAAGGAAGCTCTGAATTCCCTCCCCCTCTACAGCAGTGGCTCCCAACCTTCCTGATGCTGTGACCCTTGAATATGGTTCCTCATGTTATGGTGACCCCCAACCATAACATTATTTTCCTTGCCACTTCATAGCTATAATTTTGCTACTGTTATGAATTGTATCTGTGTTTTCCAGTGGTCTTAGGTGACCCCCTTCACCCACAGGTTACGAACCACTGCTCTACATCAATCTTGTGATTATGAGTGATATTCAAAACTAAGTCTATCTAACCCTAAACTTACCTAAACCCTTACCCCTGCCCGCAGACCACACAACCCACTCACGGTAGGGAAGTGCCTCTCCCTGAACATAAGACAGCCGTCACTTTACCTTATAGGGTATCTGCCATGTTTGAAATACACTGGACAGTGTAAAATTCTACTCAGAAGAGCCAAGTTCGTATCTGGGGCCGCCTAGCTGGTAAACCAAAGGGGCAGCCTTCCCATCCTACTCTTCCCTTGCAGAATCATGGGAAGAAAGCACTAACCCCACCCTCCACCAGGACTAAAGATGCAAACATGACACATCTTCAACAAACACCTTGAAATCATTTCCTTTTTAATACTTTTAATTAACGAAAACTTGATTCAAGTGTCTTTCTTTGGGGCTGCAGAGATGGTTCAGTTATTAAAGGTACTCACCGCTCTTGCATTAGACCCAAGTTGGGTTCCTAGCACCAGTATCAGGAAGCCTACAACCCCTGTAACTCCAGGTCCAGGCGATCACTCCTCTTTAGGCCTCCATAGGCAACAATATTCATGTGGACAAGGACACATAGACACATCAATGAAAAACAAGCCAGGCCTGGCAGCACACACCTTTAATGCCAGCACTTGGGAGGCAGAGGCAGGCTACCTCACATTTCAGTCCACGTCTCTTAATGGCATACCCGACCTGTACAGGACACTGTTTGCCCATAGCTCTGACACAATTACAAAGTTGAAGCTAGAAGTCACATCTTGTTTACCTTCTCGGAGCTTCTTAACAATACCCAAAAATTTAGACAGGTGGATATGTTATTTTGTGTCCTATCATTATTCCTAACAGGCATCTACATGGACTACCCTCCAAGGAACTGCAATAAGAAAAGTAAAGCTATTAGCATCTTGTATCTAAGCAAGCTGATGTGTTAAATCAAAGTGCAATACTACTAAAAGGGACAATTACTCTGTGGGACACTCACTGTTTTTGCTATTGTGTGTGTAGTGTATGAGACTGTGTGAACCTTATGCACATCCTTGTAGAAGCCAGAAGCTGGCATCAGGGTATCCTGGAACCGGGGTTACAGAAGGTTGTGAGCCATCACGTGCCTACTGGGAAACAAACCCGGGTCCTCTTCGAGAAACAGGCACTTAACCACTGAGCCTTGTCTCCAGCCCCTCCCATCATGCTCTATTCAGACAGGGTCTCTCGCTGAACTTAGAAGGCTGTGTGTGTCTTCTCTGCCCTCCCTTCTTATGCTAAAAGGTAACGCCTCATTAGACTGCACAGATTTTAGAGTTAAATCCTGCTTCAGACTGTACATACACAAGAAGATATAAGTAGAAACAAGTATGTAAAGTTGCAGGGCAAAAAAAGCACTCTCTCCAACTATGCATGTCAGCCGCTATAATTTCCAGGTTCTAACTAAAGTGATTTTGTTTTGAAAATCTGTAAGAGAATGTTACGGTGGCAATTTCTGGAAAGTTTTCCACTGAGAAAAGTAGACTGCATAGTGGTAAACTACTTGGGCCAATTTTGTTTTCTCAATAATTATTTCATGATAAAGACATGACATAGTATTACTGAATATTTAACTGGTATTTACCTCAATGGGCTAAGCAGCTACGGATTTCACTTCTAAGTGAAAATGTACAGCATCCATGGGAATCTTTTCATCATCCTAAAATCTCCGGAAGAAAGTGGTGTCCTTTCTTCTCTTTAAAAAACCTCAAATAAAAGCATTTTTATAAGCATCGGAGACTGAAGTCTACGCTTAGGTTCTGTTGATTTAAGAAAACTGGACTTGTGTGTACTTCCCAGATTATAAATCTGAAGGGAGGCAGAGGGTAAGGGAAGACGTTTTCTTTTCCTCCCCGTGTGGCTCGCAATAAAACCCTGGTGCAAACTCTACGCTCACATTTGAGACTGAAAAAGCAGAAAGGAAAAACTTCAAGACTGTCTTCTTTTGTTGTTGCTGTTTTCGAGACAGAGTTTGTGTAGCTCTGGCTGTCCTGGAACTCACTTTGTAGGCCAGGCTGGCCTCGAACTCACCAGAGATCGGCCTACCGGGATCTCTAGGATTCCAGGCTTGTGCCACCACCGCCTGGCAATAGGAGGCACTGGAGAGAGGGGCACAGAAGAGAAGGGGAGCAGAGTAAGAAAGTACCACCGGGGTGGGGTGTCTCTCTAGCTCAGCCTCAAAGCTCCCCCAAGCCTAACTTCTCAATCTCACACTCTGACTGGGTAAGGATGCATCCTCACGAAACCTGCCAAGTGCCTACACAGTACCGGATTATTTTAATATTCTCACAGCAGCCCAAGGAAAAAAGTCACAAGAGGCTGAGTGTCTTCTACAGTCAAGGGTGTAGTGAGAGTCTGTCCACAAGTCCAGAACCTAGTAACTACTGTTCCTCCATGCCCTCCTGCCGGGCAGATTCCAAAATCTCCAGTACTGATTGGTGGGAGATGGGACCAATCAAGTCAACTGCTCGAATACATCACACATTAATTCATACAAGTTTGAAGCAGAGAGAACCCTGGCTTCGCTCTCACTGGGGTTGGGATAAGTATCAGGTATTAAATAAGGAAGTCTTTTCAGACAGAGGCTCGTGAGAACTCCAGACCTCACTTCAGGGTGGCCTTGCAAACGGCACCATCTGTCTACTGAAAGCCTGTCAGAGCACAGAGGCTCAGGACCCGGCCCACACTCTGAAGGGGTTTTTCGGGAATCCATACGCATTGTTTGCAAGCATCCTTCTCCAACATCGAATACCAAACCTTCTGCAGGAAGGGCCTAGAAAACAGCCCTAGACATTCGCAAAAGATCAACAGACATCTCTTTGATTGGGAATCATTGATTTAGAAGCAGGGGACTTTCAAACCAACAGAACACTAGTTTCTGCTGATTTTGTAATTCTCAAAGTTTTCCAGCCACCAGCAACGCCAATGTTCCATGGCACTCTTCCAAAACAGCAAACAAAACAAAAAGCTGCACTTGCTTCCAAAGGCCGGAACGCCAAGCTGTCCCACACGGGATTTCAAGAGAGAAGACTGTCAGAAACCGTTCACTTGCTGCTACTAAAGATGGGGGTGCTGAAGGGGTGCCAATACCAAAACGATGATGAAACCAGAGTTTCGAATGTTTCAGAAAAGCAGTAGATGGGAATCTGCATCACGGTATCAACCTCACTTAAGATGGTTAAAGATCACACCAGCTGGGGGTCTGGAGCCACGGCTGAGCAATTAAGAGCTCCTACAAGACCCAGGTTCTAATCCCAGGCCCACACGTGGCAGCCAGCAACCATCTGTAACTGTGTGGGCGCCCGGCACACTCGTGGTGCACAAACAAAACAGATAAAAATAAACAAATCTTAAAAAAGGATGAGAGGGGAAGGGGTGGGCAGAGCCAGTCACAGTGGCCCATGCCTTTAATCCCAGCACTCAGGAGGCAGATCTATGTAAATTCAAGGCCATACTGATCAACACGGTGAGTTCCAGAGCTGTGTAGAGAGACGCCATCTCCAACAAACAAACAAAAGGGTCACACAAACAGCAATGTGGGGATGTGGTTTGTGTGGTGTGCAAGAAGCCCTGGGCATGGTCCCCTGCAGAGGACTAATTAGGTATGGTCATTGACAGACCTGGAGTTCAAGACCAGCACTGGCTACAAAAACAATAACAAAGACCGTGCCGTCTAAGTTAAGATTTTTAGGTTAAATTACTACCAGTTACATACCATGTCTTCTTTCACAGACACACAAGTGGAGTCAAAGGGGATCAACTAACGAACAGCCACAATAGCTCAACTGATGCTCCAAACTATATTTCTAAAAAACGGCATGCTAATTAAAACTAAGACTTACAATGAAGCACAGCTGCCAAATAAACTATGATTCCTTCGTAATTTTAAGGCTTGCAGAAACTTGACAATATCTAGTGTGTGTAATGACTTTAGATTTCTTAAATAATCATCTCAATTAGGAACAAATTGGCCAATCTGTGAACACTGCACACTTAAATGCATCACACTGCTGGCATTATAATACCATCAAAAGTTTAACAGTTCCTGGTGGAGCCAGATAGCGAAACAGAAAGCCACTTGTCCCCACATCATAATAGTCTCCAAACATTTTAAAAATACTCAGATTGGGTAACTCCATTCTATTACATAGCTATTATATTCTGAATTGTAATCTTATTTTGAAAGAAAATATCCTTATGAATATTTAGAAAATGTGATATAAATCCTTTAAAATACTTACCTTCTTCTGTACAACTAAGAATAGGCTGCTTCAAAACCAGACTTAGTAGAACTTTTCAAAAGAAAACAGTTTTGAGAATTTTATCTTACCCTCTTTTGTGTGTTGGGGGAAGAGTGGATCTGTAATCAAAGCCAGGTCTTGACCCTACCAAGCATCTACTCTACCACTGACTACATAAACAACCCAACAAAATGACTCAAAAGAATACTCCAAGTAACAGCAACTTTAAGTAAAAGGAATACAGCAACGCTGGAGAAATGGATCACCAGAAAAGAGCACTTTTCCTGCAGAGGACCCGGGTTCAATGCCCCGCACCCACAGAGAGGCTCACAGCCCTATAATTCCAGTTTCAGAGGACGCCATCCAAGGCACCAGGCAGGCATGCAGTGCCCGTAAATACATGTAAGCACCATACACATAACATTTTAGTTATAAAATGAGCTAAATTAAATTATCTTTAAATTCTTTTAGAAGTTCTAAAGACTATTATTCTAGAACTCCCCCATCTTCTCTGCGCTCTAAACCGTGTTTTATAAAACTCTGTCCAACTCCTCAAGTCAAGTCATTGAATGAAATTAACTGGATCAAGCCTCTAGAGAATTCTGAGTCTCTTGGACCTTATATGGTGAGGTTTCTGAGTCATGAGAACTGAGTTTGAATCCAGAGGACAGCGTGAGTCTGTGAACAGCAGCAATGTAAGTCTGTACACCAGCAAGAAACCTTCAGCAAACTCCTGACCTCTGGGTCCTTTGTGTTGAGTGACAATGGCCTTACCTTTGATGGGGAGAGAGGATAGGAGTAAAACTAGTGAAAGAATCCAGAAGAGTCCAGACCAGCAAACCATCAAGAAAACTTTTAACTGTCCACATCCTTAGATACTGAAAAAGCTATCTTGTTATTTTTACTTCCTAAAGAATAAATTGTGATATGAATAGAAGTAAGAAAAACAAAGTTTAGGAGGAGATTTTGGCAGCTTTAGGTTAGACTTCTGATAAAATACTGGTATAGTAACTGCAATATCTGGTTTTAATTTCTTTTTGAAGCTGGTAGCACCTCCAGATTCAATGTCATAATGGAAGAAGTCAACAAATTCATCCATTGAGGAAATACATTTATTTAACTCCCTGAATATTTACGCAATTACTAAAGTAACTCAATGGTGACTGTTTTTACAAGGAGTTTTGTTATCAGTGAAAGTTGTCATAGAACTGAATTAACCTAGTCAAAGGGGCTTGAAGGTTGTACAAGTAAGATTTTTGATTATCCGAGCCCTTTAGAGCTGGGAAGGGGGGTGTTTTTGTTTTTTATGTGCACTCTCTTGACAAAGACAAGACTATTCCTTTACTCTGATGACACAGAATTAGAATCTACTGCTGAATATATATGGTCTACATATCATACAAAATCACTGTTTAAGACTTTTGTGAAATTAGTTACTCCTCACATTTGTGTTAACTGGTTAACGTTAGTGGGCACTAACCCATCCCGTAGAATGGGTTCTCTTTCCTCTTTCATTTCCTAGGACAAGGTCTTACTGTGTAGGCCAGGCTGGCCTGGAACTTACAGAGCCCCCTGCCTCTGCCTCCCTCGGGAGTGCTGGGATAAAGGCATGCGCCCCCACACCTGGGCTGCGAGGGCACTCTTTCCATGAAACCTTCAAACACTTTCGGTACTATTTTTAAAACTCTTCACTGCAAGCCCCTGTATTTAAGGGGTGTCAAGACACCACACGGTTTTGAAGTTCTTTCCACCACAGATTTCTAAAGCCGATACCCTAGACCTTCAGTGATTACTACAAACCGCGCACATACCAAATCAAGGAGCGTGAGTACTAATAAGGCAAACAGACTTTAAAAATTCTTTTCTACTATAAATAGTGTTGCCTTAAGTTTTCAAGTGACTTTAGGTGCTTGGACATGGACAAGTGCTGAGCAACATTTAGTTTCATTATAAAACCAGTATCCTAGGTTTTCTACAAGTGAATGAAGCCTTAGCTTTGGGTTTGGCTGCGTTTGTGTGGTGGGTCTGTTTATGTGTGTGTAGCCAGCAAGCTCACGTGTGTGTCTGAGCTCAAGTATGTGTGTGTATGCCTGGGTGAGAAAGAGCCTAATAAGTAAAATGACAGCTTATGAAACCTGTAAAATTCTACTTTGGATCCAATTCAGGTTCACAAACTTCCCAAGTCTTAGGGTTTGCCTAAAGCTACAGAAAAAAACAAACAAACAATCAAGGCGGTGCGGCCCATCTCAAAGCCTACAGAAAAAGCCTGTAAAGAACTTAACTTTTTATTCACTGTTGTCCTAAGGGAGGAGACACGCTCACTCTGGCAGAAGAGGAGGGGGGAAAAAGGATCCGAAACGGGAAAGAAGGAAAAGGCAGGGGGGGGGGGGGGAAGAGGAGGGGAAGGGAGGGAGAGAGGAACACAGAGTTAACGCATGACATTGGCAGAGTCACGCGACCGACTGCAAAACCCCTGGCAGAAGCCCACTGTGTAAACGCCAGAGCAGCGGTTCTCAACCGGTCGGTGGCGACCTCCAGGGGGTCGCACATTACGATTCATCCCAGTAACAAAGTGAGTTCTAAAGTAACAACGAGATAGCTCTGTAGTCGTGGGTCACGCAGCAAGGGGAGCCGCGTTAAAGGGTCGCGGCACTCCAGGCTGGCCGCGCTACTGCTTTAGGACATTGACTGCGAAGGGTCCCTACCTACCTGTCAGTGTGATTCTCTGGTCCGTAGTCACCGAGAGGACGTGGTTTTCGTGCACCTTCCAAGTGCCCAAATTTGGAGAGGTTGCCTGTGCTCCGGGAACCTTGGGTGCTGTCCCACGAGCGCGACCCTTCATCCCCAGGGACAGCAGGCGTCCTTTGTACATCCACTTCTGCAGCTTCTTGACTGTCACCGCAGGTGGCTTGAGGAGGGGAGGCCCCTCCGGACGCTCCTCTTGGCTGCTGGCTATCACAGAGGTCCCCGCAAGATCCCTAAAGGGACGTCCCGAGGACCGGCCCGGGTCCTGGCAGATGGAAGGCAGGAGGGCGGCGGACGCAGCCGCCCGGTGGCTGCCCGGGCTCCAGCCGTCCATCCCACCTCCACGTGGCGGGGGCTCGTCCCTGTCCCTGTGCGCCCCGCACGAGATCCAGCTGTCGCTCGCCCACCGCTGGAGCAGAGGCGGCTGGGGGCTCGCGCGGAGGCTCTCGAGACTTCTGCAGCCGGACAGCCTCATCCGAGGACTCAGCTGCCGTCCTAGCCGGGACTCCTTGGGAGGCGACCGGGGCGGGGACACCTGCTGCGGAGGGCGGTCGTCGCCTCGGGGGCCGCAGGCGAGGCGCACGGCTGCGCCGTGGGGGAGAGGTGGCTGCTGGGCCGGAGCCCGGGCTCCCGCGGGTCCGCCCCGCCGCGTGCCCGAGTCAGGGGGCAGGTCGTGCATGGCCTGGATCAGCAGATAATAGGCCTCTCGCAACTGGGTCTGCAGCCTGCCCGTCTCCAGGCGGCCGCCCTCCACCCCCGGGGAGGAGCCCGCCGCCGGGGAAGGCGAGGCCCGCAGCGCCTCCGCCCCCTCGGGCGCGCAGCCCGCGGGCAGGTTCTCGTAGTAATCGGCGCCCTCGTCCTCCCCGTCGTCGTCGCCGCTGCCCTCGGGGCCCGGGATGGCTCGAGCCGGCGCCCGGCCCAGAGCGGCGGCCTCGGGCTGAGCCCCGCGAGACCACGGGACCCGCGCGCCCGGCCGCTCGGAGCGCACCCCGCTCCCCAGCGCGGGCCGCTCCATGCCGGGGCCCTCGGAGAGCGAAGCCGCCGCCGCGGTGTCCGCGCACAGCTCGAGCGTCCCCGGCCCGGCCCCGCGCCGCTCCCGGAGCCGGCCGAGCGTCCTCCGCAGGGGCTCCGCCATGCGCGCCGCCCTCAGCAGCCCGGCTCGCCCCGGGCGCGGGGCCGGCTCCGAGTCCCGCGCGGGCGGAGGCGGCGGCTCTCCATGAGCGCGGCCGGTCCTCGCCAGCTCCTCACATACTTGGCATAACTCTGCCGCGGCGGGCCGTGGGGGGAGGGCGCGGGCGTGCGGCGGGCGCCACAGCGCGCATGCCCCGGAACTGGAGCCGCGACGGGGCGCGCGGGCCGCGGCGCTGCGTTCCCGAGGTGGGCGCTCCGGGGGCGGGGCCGGCGGGGCTGCCGAGGGGGAAAGGTGGAGCGGGTCCCGCCGCCACCCCGCCACCTTCCCCGGCCCCTCCCCGCTGCCCCCCGCGGGGGGCGTGGCTCCCGCGCAGCAAGTCCCGGCTTGAGAGTAACAAAGGCTGTTTGCAGGGATCCAGTGTGAGTGCAGGTGTATCTCACTGGAGCCTCGTTCCAGAGATGTTCCGATCGCTTCCCTGCCCCCCTCAACCCTCCCGGAGCTGTTGAAAGGGAATCCGCGGGCCTGGAGAGGTGGATCGGCTGTTAGGAGCGCTGGCTGCTCTTGTAGAGGACACAGGCTCGAGTCCCAGCCCTGGTGGCTCAGCCTTCAGTAACTCTCCAGTTCCAGGAGTTCGGATGCCCTCTTCTGGCCTCCACGGACACCAGGAATATAATCTGTGGTAGACAGACGCAGGCAAAACAACCATGTACATAAAAATAAATAGTAAAAAGGGGGAATTTGCAGCAATTTCTTTTTGCTAAGGATTTTTAAAAAACATTTATGCCCTAAATCATCTCGGTTTCCTCTCCTTTAAATCGGTTTTCCTTCTGTAAAAATGATGCATGGTCACCCAACGTTAATTCATCAAGGGAAGCATGTTAAATGGAGCCACAGATATCAGAGTCCTGGGTACAACTACCAAATTAAAAATATAGTTTACAGCTTTTAAATGTACTGACTCTTCATTTCAAATCAGCATTGAGAAACAGATGGATTGATATAGAGGAAGGGTGGGATTTGGAAATACCTACGCTCACAAAATAGGAAGGGTCATGCTCTGTATAGCAACACCAACTCCAAGTCCCTCATATTTAATTGACCTGTCAATGATCGATAAGAATCAGTGTTACCATCATCCCTGATTTCAGATAGATGTTTTAGTTTTCACATAATAGGCATACCTTTGAGCTACTCATAATGCACACACCTGCACTTAGTAGGTACTCAAGTCCTCAAAAAGCAGTAGCTGGGTACATAGTGTTTGCATTACTAAATAAAATAACTTGGTCCTAGCTTATTCCAGTGTGGTCCTGTGTTCTGCACCAAAGGTCCCATCCTCTAAATTCGCCTAGATTTGTACTCTATTTGTTAGCATCTGTCTCTCTGCCTCCTGAAGTAGTGTCCCCTACATCTGCGTTTGTGTAAATCTTGCGCATCCTGGGCTTGGTGTGGTGGAATACATATTTGTAATGTCAGCACTGGGGAGGAGGAGGCATGTGGAAGACAGCCTGAACTATTTAGTGAGTCCCTCTGTCAAAAAACTAAACCAAGGGAGTGACCTGCGTGTTCAGCAGGCAGAGGTGCCTGCCTTCAGGCTCGGTGACCTCGGTTTGAGTTATTTCCTCAGGACCCACATCTTGAAAGGTGCAGACCATTGTCTTCTAACTTCGACACGTGGCTGTGACACTCACACTCACACGTGGCTGTGACACTCACACTCACACGTGCCTGTGACACTGACACACATGGCTGTGACACTTATACTCAAAAACATAAGAATGAACGGTGAAGGGGAGGGGCTTACCCATCCTTGTTTTCAACTGCCTTCTTCATGAAGTCAACTCAGAGCAGCACGTGATGTCAAGTTGTACTGAACTCCAATCATCACTTACTACTATCCAGCACACGCACACACACACACACACACACACACACACAATGCACCACACACACAATACACCACACACACAAATCTTTGTCATATTTGTTGAGACATAATGTAGAAGCTACTTACTTTTACATAATTTGTATGCATGTTTTGTCTCCCATATGAGAAAACTCAAAGTTCATCCACTTTCTTAGGGCAAAAACTACCATTCCTACTGTAGAGTGGTAAATACTGCATCTTAAACACTGTACATGGTGAACCGTTTTTAATGACAACAGTGTTATAAGAAACAAGTAGCTTCAGTTTTCAGTCTGTTGCTCAACTCTCCACTAGACCATAGCGCATTGGTGTTGTTTTAAATTTCAGTAACAAATGGGAAAGACAGTTTTAAAAATAATCTTAATTCTTAAGATGAAATGTTACACTATGATGTTCACACATTAATACTGTCCATGCTAGTATATTTTTATTGCAGAAGCACAAGGCTATTTCATGAATAATCAAGGCATAAAAATATTCCCCAGTGAATATTCCCACAGGAAATGACTGATAGCAAAGCTGCCAATAATGGGTCCTATAAACACAATTTGATCTCTATCTCAGAAATTGATTTCCTTCCAACTGTGTTGCACAATCTTTTTATTCTTTGTAGTTAGCAGGGTTTAAAATCCCATAAGCTGTGCACGCACGCGCGCGCGCACACACACACACACACACACACACACACACCTATATATTGAACTCTGTCCTTAATTCAACTTACTAACTTGTTGAGAAGTCATGAAATTCTCTGGTCAATGGAATATGCCATGCCATGCATTGCTTTGGGCATTACTCAGAGTATAGCACTCCACGATGAAATTCAATACTGCATCAAACTGAGGATGAGGACTGGGCTTGAGCTATGACTCAGCATGCCTTGCTGAGAGGCATAAAAATCCAGATTCTATCCCTAACACCAAATAACCCACATGTGGTGACCCACACCTGTAATCTCAGCACATAAGAGGTACAGGCAGGAAGCTGAGAAGTTCGCAGGTCAGCCTCAGAATGTTCTAGAATGTGAATTCACAATTTTAACCCAATTTTGGGTGACAGAAATTAATAATACAGCTGTGATCATGTAATGCTATTTAATGGTATTAAATGCACAGATCCTATTTTTCTATAAGTGTATTATATTTCAATAAAAAGTTTGTAAACATGTCATGTAAGGCACCATATCCACAGAACTGGCGTGATCTACAGTATAATCCACCATAGCAAGGTTTTGATCTTAGGTTGTTCAGCTATCTCCATTTTCTTTTCTGTCTAATCTTACAGACTCCCTTGGAAGTTAGGGGGTGACCAAGACATGTTCCAGTGTTTATACTTGCTTCTCAGAGGCTTGGCAATCACTTTGGTTCTTGAATTGACAGCCTATGGTACTGGCACTGTCACAAAAGATTTAACATTGGGATAATACGGCTCCAAGAAGGCAGGAAGCCAAGCAGGCTGGCGCTGGCTCAGTCTAGGAGAAGGGAAGAAACAGGCAGGCTGAGACATGGGCTTCGTTTAACAGTCGTGGAAGGGACTGCAGCTAAGTGTGTTACAGTTATTTTCTAGACCATCTGGGAGTATGTGTCTCACTGGTTGTTGGTATTCCATCATATTCTTGTTTTTTTTTTTTTTGATTTTTTTTTGTTTTTTTTGGTTTTTCAAGACAGGGTTTCTCTGTATTGTTTTGGAGGCTGCCCTGAAATTTGCTTTGTAGATTAAAGGCATGCACCACCAACACCTGGCTTCCATCATATTCTTAAAGGAACCAACAACAAGTTTAGCTCTGGAATTTTTGCAGGTCTCTCTTCCTAAACGGCCTCATAGGAAGCCTGGAGTGCAGACCTGTCTGATCTACCATGTAGCTCCATTGGTACTGAGTAAAAAGTAATTTGAGCCTCCAGCAGACCACGTTGACTCCTGACACAGAGGTTCTCGATTAACAGCTAGCAGTTTGCAACATTCCTTTCGTTTTCCAGCTTCCTGTAAAGTAATGAAAGGAAAACTTCTTGCTAAATCTGCATGTGTTTTCTGACATTTAGAAACATATAATGACTTAGAATACTCATTGACGTTTTATATTACCTAATCTTAAATGATCTATACTTATTACTTGCTCAAATTCACCACAGCGAGATGGGAAAACAAACCTAGCATCTGGTTGCAAAGCTACTACACCCCTTGGCACTTCATCTAGAACAGGAATAGATGCTACCCACTCTTCCTGAGACAGTGTTTGCTCTTACTCGAACATTCCTTGCTATAAACCAACAGACCACCTTCCATAAAACAGTTTAATGTTTTATAATTTTGCGGGAAACACAACCAAACGTTTCAATTTTTCTTAAAGCAATCATCAACAGGACTGTTAGAACTACAGCCCATATTCCCATTTATCTGTGAATTTATTTGCAAAAAAACCCACAGAATAGTGTAGTCTGATTTTAAAAGTAGGACAATACAATTTAGTATTGTTAGAGTCACTGTTATGATTGTGGCCAAATACCCAATAAGAAGGAACCTGACGGAGGAAGGATTTTGTTGGCTCACAGTTTGAGGGTCAGCTGCTGGCTCACAGTTTGAGGGTACCAGTCAGCAGCTGGCTCACAGTTTGAGGGTACCAGTCAGCAGCTGGCTCACAGTTTGAGGGTACCAGTCGGCTGCTGGCTCACAGTTTGAGGGTGCCAGTCGGCTGCTGGCTCACAGTTTGAGGGTACCAGTTGGCTGCTGGCTCACAGTTTGAGGGTGCCAGTTGGCTGCTGGCTCACAGTTTGAGGGTACCAGTCGGCTGCTGGCTCACAGTTTGAGGGTGCCAGTCGGCTGCTGGCTCACAGTTTGAGGGTACCAGTCGGCTGCTGGCTCACAGTTTGAGGGTGCCAGTCAGCAGCATCCTCCTTGCTCACTTTCAAAACAGAGCAGAGAGAGGAAACCGGTACTCAGATCACCTCTTCCTTTCTCCTCTATCGTTCCATCCAGTCCCAGGGCACATGGATGCTGCCACCGAATTCATCTAAGTTAACCTTCCTTTAAATGTCCTCACAAATGCAGCCAGAGGTGTGTGTGGCTCCGGAGTCTCTGCGGTGACTCTAAATCAACCAAGCTAACAAAGAAGACCAGCCATCGTAAGTTGTGTCGTTTCGTTTTGTTTCCTTTTAATTCACTTTTAACTCGCGCAGCTCAGACTGATTTCAAGCTTCTCATATAGTGAAAGATGGTCTTTATCCTGATCCTTCTGCCTCTAACGCCCAAATGCTAGGATCACGGATACATGCCACCCTGCCTGGATTGTCACTCAGATTCCATTTTTATTTTATTTTGTTGTGGTTTTGTTTTTTGTTTTTGCTTGTTTGTTTTGAGACATCATCTCATTATGTTGTGATGATACATTATTATCTATTAGAGCTTGCCTGAGGATTCAGAAAGCAAAGTCAGCCTCAAGCTATAGAGATCAGGCAGTGATTGCGTAGGAGGCAACTCAGATGCACACTCACACACACAGTCTCTCTCTCTGTCTCTCTCTCTCTCTCACACACACACACACACAGTCTCTCTCTCTGTCTCTCTCTCTCTCTCACACACACACACACAGTCTCTCTGTCTCTCTCTCTCTCACACACACACACAGTCTCTCTGTCTCTCTCTCTCTCACACACACACACAGTCTCTCTGTCTCTCTCACACACACACGCATACTCACACTCACACACACAGTCTCTCTCTGTCTCTCTCTCTCTCTCACACACACACGCACACACAGTCTCTCTGTCTCTCTCTCACACACACACACACACACGCATACTCACACACACAGTCTCTCTCTCTCTCACACACACACGCATACTCACACTCACGCACAGACACTCACACATGCACTCACACTCACAGATTAATAAATCAATTAACTAACTTAAAAAGTAATAAGGAAACCTGTTTTCTAAGAGTAATAGATTCAAAGAACAAGAACAAGATATGCAGCTTTGGTTTATATGGATGTTCCACCAGGAAGTTCAGATTATTTCTTTCTGCTAAAAAAAAAACCCTATGTCTGGTTACTAATGACATGACAAAGGAGTCATCACCAAGGAGACTGTTTCCTGGATTGTATTCCCTCTGAAGGCTGAAACCATGTGTCCCTCTTCAAATCCACATGGCTTGCCATTCTAGTTCCTACTCAGCCTTAAACTCTGGACACCAGACTTGAGTCTAGTTTCCTACCCCGCTTTAAACTCTGGACACGAGACTTGGGTCTAGTTTCCTACCCCGCTTTAAACTCTGGACACCAGACTTGGGTCTAGTTTCCTACCCCGCTTTAAACTCTGGACACCAGACTTGGGTCTAGTTTCCTACCCCGCTTTAAACTCTGGACACCAGACTTGGGTCTAGTTTCCTACCCCGCTTTAAACTCTGGACACCAGACTTGGGTCTAGTTTCCTACCCCGCTCTAAACTCTGGACACGAGACTTGGGTCTAGTTTCCTACCCCGCTTTAAACTCTGGACACCAGACTTGGGTCTAGTTTCCTACCCCGCTTTAAACTCTGGACACCAGACTTGGGTCTAGTTTCCTACCCCGCTTTAAACTCTGGACACCAGACTTGGGTCGAATTCCTGTGGGAAAGTACACCTTCTTGCCAGTTTCGCCATCAGTCCACCCAGGGAATGAAAGTCTTCACTCATTAGTAAAGGCCACCTGTTTTGTCTCCATCATAGACAAAGTCACAGCTCCAGTGACTCACCGAGGCAAGTGGATGACAGTCTTCCACAATGCGAAACCACTTCAAAGCCTTGTCCCCCTGGGCTGGATTTCACACTCCGCATTCTGGCTTTTCAATAGAACCTTCAAATCTATGTAGTCAACAAATGGCTTAAGACATAGAGCCACCATGGCCGCTAACCCACCATGACCAAGGTCAAAGCCCTTAAGAAAATGAGTAATTACTCTAAAAGAAAAAGAGGATGGGGTTGAACTGTTCAATGATAACATGGTCTTGCATTTCCAACATAGAGTTCCAAACTCGGTGCCTTCTGGGGCCAGACAGGTCCTACCAACACAGGCACAGATCCAAGCGCAGCAGCCACACTACGGAGTGAAAGGGAACAGTGGCTTCCTCAGTCCCAGGAGTGGAAGCCTACCAAGAGGCCGTCCCCTATCCTCGTCTGGTATTCTTTTTCTATAATCTTGGCTGAGGCCTATCCTCGTCTGGTATTCTTTTTCTATAATCTTGGCTGAGGCCTATCCTCGTCTGGTATTCTTTTTCTATAATCTTGGCTGAGGCCTATCCTCGTCTGGTATTCTTTTTCTATAATCTTGGCTGAGGGAGTTTTACAACCCCTTTTTAAGAGACCTTTTTTATTCCTTTGTTTTTAAACTTTATGAGTGTTTTGCCTGCAGTGCCTGAAAGGGCAGAGGAAGCTTTTGGATGGTTGTGAGCTGCCGTGTGTGTGCTGAAAATTGAACCCAAGTGTTCTGGAAGAGCGGAGCCCTCCAACCCCTAAAGATTTTATTGTTAATTATGTGGACATTTGTGGTTTTGTATAGTTATGTGCACATATGAACAGTGCCCTGTGGATGGAAGCCGCCCTGCCCGGCAGCTGTTCAGTCCCAAATAAACACACCGAGGCTCATGTTTATTATAATTGTTTGACTAGCTCTCTCTTAATTATTAACCCATTTCTATTAATCTGTGTATCTCCACATGGTCTTGGCTTACCAGTGATGCTCAAATCTCTTGTTTCCTTGGCAGCTACATGACCTCTCCCTGACCCCACCTACTACCTTTCTCTATCCCTGTTTGGATTTACCGCCTGGCTACATCCTGCCTGTCCATTGGCTGAAACAGCTTTATTCATCAACCAATAAGAGGAACATATATTCACAGCTTACAGAAGGACATCCCCCACCAGTGCCCATGAAGGCCACACAAAGGTGTTGGATCCCCTGGAGTTGTAGTCATAGGCAGTTGTGGACTGCTGACATGGGGTCTGAGTGGAGCTGAGATCCTTGGCAAGAGCAGTATAGACTCAGCCTCTGGCCCATCTTTCCAGTCACTGAATTCTTTTTGTTTGTTTGGTTGCTTGTTTGTTTTGTTTTTCGAGACAAGGTTTCCTCTGTGAAACAGTCCTGGCTTTCCTGGAACTCACTCGTTGACCAGGCTGGCCTCAAATTCACAGAGATCCATCTGCCCCACGGCCTCCAGGGTGCTGGGATTAAAGGCGTGCGCCACGACCGCTGGGCAGTCACTGCGTTGCTAAGGTTGCAGCATAAGGACACTGTGGGACAGATCAACCAGATATGCATACTGCTTGCTGTTTTTCTTTTCTCCTCTGATCGTCAGCAAGTATTGCATAGAAGTTGCTGACAGAATTTTTGAAAAAGTACTAAGTTACTAAGTATCATGATCTTAAATACCCGGTCAGTTTTATGATCCCCAGGGGCTAACATGTATGGTAATGACCAGATATTCTCTTCCTGTCTCATTTTTCACCTGTCTCGGTCTCAGCATGAACTAAATGCTATCACCATGAAGTGTTTAAACTTTACCTCCGAGTCTCACCCGAAAGTGTCGGGGTGAATAAATAGAGTAAATGGGACCATCACCACGTTCCCGTGAGGAAGATAAGAGCCTGTTGATGATGTTTTACATGGGCCTAAGGAAGATCCTGCCATAGTTTTCCAAGCTGGGCATGGCAGTGCACAGCAGCCATCACAGGGCTTGAGAGACTGAGGCAGGAGGCGCTCCGGTCTGGACTACACAGAGACGTCATCTCACAATGAACCAACAGCAGCCTAACCCCCGCATCCCACCCCCCCTCAGCCCCAACCCTGCTTGTAAAATTCCATCACATTTACAGTCATTGTTTTTTGTGATGGTAAAAGTATGTGTCAAGGCATAGATAACCTAGAAAGGTAGAAAAGCAAAAAATAACCGAAAAGCAAATCCCCTCACGTAACCATCCCAACACACATCCAAACCCAATTACTGGAGTGGATTCTTCCCACGAGCACTTGCTGCTGGGAAAACATGTTTTTAAATGCTTCAACGATATCATTACCAATATTAAAATAATATTCTGGTAATAAAGAATAATTACCTTAGGACACAGTGTTTTATTGTTAGTATATTTTATCTGATACATATCTTTAATTTTTTTTTCATAATTTAGTGATCCGGTTGGAGTTCTGTTTCTGTCAGGAACTCAGGGGGAAGGGAAGTGTCTTGCTTTAAATGGAGAAGACATTCACTAATCTGAAAACTTCATTCTCCACCATGCACACCAGTCGGCAGCCTCATAATTACACGCCTAAAGATTGTTCAAATAAAAAGGGAACAAAGCTCCCAGCAGAGTTCAATGCCGAAGTCAAGACTGCCTGGAGGTATGAGAAGTTTTATGTCTCTGTTTACCCAGGAGTAAATTAAATGAATGCATGTTTAAAACGTGAATCACGGTTATATTTAGTCTACATGCTACAGACAGGGAGAAAACAGGAGAAATCTTTCTGATAAAATGTAGTAATGAAAACTTAAGGTACACCCACAGGTTTGGATACATGCCCCGGAATGCAGTCATGACAAGTTCGGTATGAAGTAACTGTGGAGCAGAAAGACAGACCGGGGTTTAGAGCATTCTGGATATCTTTCAGCTATGAAGCCTAGCTGGCATGTGTGAGGCCCCCCTATGGGTACTCTAAAAAAGGAACAACAGCTGGAGTGCAGATGTCTGGAGTCTTTCAGCCTCTCTCAGCCAGACTGTTAACTCAGACTCAAGGTAGAATTGGGCCCTGGAGCCCCCAAGGGGTAGAATTCTACGTGAGTTACTGTCATAGTTACTGTCATAAAATACTGGACAGCAGTAGCTTGAGGAAGGGAAGGGTTATCTTGACTCACAGTTTGCGGGTGCAGTCCATCATGGCAGGGAAGGGCACAGCAGCAGGAAGACGAGACGGTGACTGGTCACATAGATGGCATCCACAACCAGGGAGCAGAGAGAAATGATGCCAGCGTGGGGTTCACTGTCTCCCGGCCTCCAGACCATGGACCAGCACTGCCCACCTTCAGGAAGGGTCTTCTCACCCAAGGAATGCACTTTAACTCCTTTTGCAGAGTTCCTAGGTTTGTCTCCTCCTGTGTGCTTTTAGTCAGCGGCAACTGAATGATCAATATTAACCATCCCAGGTCCCAATGAATCCCCTGGCGTCTTCCCCTTCAGAGCTGCAGGGACACTCCTGGCCGAGGCTCAGAAAAAGTGCACAAATCCCCAGGACTTCTCTCTTGTGCTCCAGCTTCCAAGCAGTGGGATGGTGCCAGAGGCCACCACGGAGCCTCCGGGAGGAAATACCGAGAAGATGCGACAAGCCCATGCTATTCTCTCCAGTCTTTTGCCGCTTGGCTCTGAATGCAAGCAGTTACAGGAGTGCACGTCACAGCTCGGTAACAACTATTTCACCTGATGGCAAGAGAACCAAAGTGGGGAATCTCGTAGGGGCTTGGGAAGGACTGGAGAGGTCAAGGGGGTGGTTTTTTCCACCTGAGTTCACCACTGAGCTATGCACACCTAGATCTGTGTACAACTAGAGTAATCAGAAAATATTCAAAAATTCAGATTGGACACTGACCACCACGTCACCCATACGCCGCAGGACAGGTTGAGAAATAAGCAAAGATTTATGATACTGAGCAGCTGTTTGGAACCCCAGACACAGCTCACGGGTTAAAACTTTGGGACGTAACAAAACTACGTCAGTTGCTAAGGCTGGAGAGGATGGCTCAGCAGTGAATAGCACTTGTTGGTCTTGCAAAGGATGGGTTCAGTTCCCAGCACCCACAGGTGGCTTGGAATCTTCTGTAACTCCAGATCCCTGGTTCCAGGGGATTCGATGCCTCTTCTGACTGCCACAGGAACGGTATGACAACTTCAGAGTCTCGGAGGCATACAAAGAGAAATTCTTTCTGTTTCTGGATATCCAGATCCAAGTAGTTCGCTACCAGGCAGTGTCAGCTACTTGGAAGAAGGTGAAACAGTTGCCTACAGCATGCCTCATGATATTTGTGGCCACATTCCAGTGGGCTAAGGAAATCATAAGATCTTGGCTGAATAAACAGACTTTCTCTAGTCTGTGTCTTTGAATTCCCAGCTACAAGTCCCCGAAACCCTGCTCTTCGCATTTGATATCCCCAGTATTCCTTCCCCCAAACAGCTGGCTCCTTTTCTCCCCGTGCTAGGCACAGGCTATGTCTTTTACTGGATCTTGGCTTCTGTCTGTTGTCTGTAAGAAATCTGATCGAGTTAGTGTTACACAGCTCTGCCGTTTGTCCCAGGTTTGAAACGTAGCTGTTAGCTCACAGTCTTAGGGGACACAGACGTGAAACAGATTTCTGATGAAAGGGTCCCAGGCAGACTTGGTACAGGAGGCAGCATCACAACGTTGGCGGGAGAGAGGAGAGTGGGAAATTCCGTACTAGCGGGCCAGCGTGTGGCAAGGCCCAGAGGGATAGTGTGGGAACAGTAAGCTGTCTGCTTCCACTACAGCATGGAGGAAAATGCTGGCTCAGAGGGCAAGAGAGAAGAGGCTCAGTAGAAACCAGGAGGGAGATGTGAGACAAGGCTATCCACCAGAAGGGTGAGCGCTTCTCCGCATGATGGAAATCACAATGAAGTAGGAGCAATTACCGCCAAGAGCTGTCAAGGCTAGAGAGAAGCAAGGATTGCATTCCACTGTGCTATGTTAATAAAATAATGAGCCAAAATATAAACTAATTCTCCACACAAGCATTCCAAAACTGCTCTTGGAGAAACAGAGGCCCCAAGAGCATGTGTGAATGAGGTCAATTACAGGCCAAGACAGATAGACAAGAGAAGTTAGGAAGATGACATAACCAGAGAGCCTTACCAAAAAAGCACAGTCTGTACCTTCCTTTGGGAAAATACGAGGCGGATGGTGTTGTGTTCTATCAGTGAGGTGATCAACACTGGATCAGATGAAGTTCAACTCACACTTAAATGGAAAAGGCTTCAAGAAATGCATAATGCAGTTTTCTCATGTCTTCAAAATCCTAGAGATAATAAATTGTATCCTCTCAGTCTACAATGAAGGAAAGGATGATTGTACCCTAGTGACCACTCCTACTGTGAGTTACTACTCTGCCATTTCTGAGCTAGTATCAATAAAATCAATAAGCGCTATGGCTTTTGATTTCCCATATCCAGAGAAAAGAAAGGGAATGATATTATTTGTGGTCCTTTAAGTGGCTCGTATAGATCCTTGGAACATGATCAGTCTGTTTCTGCTTGTTCCAGGGGCACACTACAGAGTTCAAAAACTTTGCACATTGGGCCAGCCATTTAATTTGTTTTGTTTTGTTTTGTTTTTCGAGGCAGGGTTTCTCTGTGGCTTTGGAGGCTGTCCTGGAACTAGCTCTTGTAGACCAGGCTGGCCTCGAACTCACAGAGATCCGCCTGCCTCTGTGTCCCAAGTGCTGGGATTAAAGGCGTGTGCCACCAACGCCCGGCCAGCCATTTAATTTTTGACTAGTGACATAATCCTGGTGCAAAGAAGGCTGCCTCTGGGTTTCAATACAAGCTTGTAAACTGAGAAGCTCTTTCCCGGATGACAACAGATTAATCACACTTGGATGTCCTTGTCTTAAGAAGCAGCAAAACTCGATGGTGAATGTCCCCACCCTCCACACTCACCCAACCCTTCCCTGCCCAAGTCTTTTAGAGTCTCAGTGTTTACCGAACACACTCTCAATTCCTGAGTCCAACCTAGGAGCTCACAGGATGTAACTTCCACCATCTTCCATCCTCCTTACTGCTTCAGTCTCTTCTGGGGGAATAAGAAACAAACACCAAACAAGCAAAAACCTCACAGCTGGCGGCTTACAAGCACTAGCTGCCCCACAGCTCTCCAGGCTAGGACCTCAAGGATGGAAAGTGGCCTTGTAGGTCTGCGGTCCGGGGAGGACGGCCTTCTGGCTCACATTTAGTGCTTTCTTCCTGTGTCCACACTTGGTGGATGGGTCAAGAGCCACTCATGGCCTTCTTTGGTTTTCAATTATTTTGCGGTCACATTTTTAACGCGCGCGCGTGCGTGTGTGTGTGTGTGTGTGTGTGTGTGTGTGTGTGTGTGTATCACTGTGTGCAGTGGAGGACAGAGGAGAGGACACCTCGGTGAGTCAGCTCTTCCCTTCGTGAGTCAGCTCTTTCTGCCGTCTGTTCCCAGGAAAAGTGCTTTTACCCACTCAGCCAGAGGCGCGGTTCTCAACCTTCCCATGTCTGTGACCCTTTAATACAGTTCCTCATTTTGTGGTGGTCCCCAACCATGAAACTATTTCCATTGACACTTCGTAATTATAATTCTGTTACTGCTATGAATCGTAATGAAAGTATCTGATATTTCCGGTGGTCTTCGGGGACCACCGTGAAAGAATCGTTCGACCCCCCTCACCCCCTGGGGTCTCAACCCGCATATTGAGAACCTCTGCACTAAGCCATCCATGCACCTTTGGGCTTCTTTTCACAGGGACTCGGATCCCATTCAAAAGTCCCTCTTCCTGATGCCAACGTCTGGAGGCGTAGATTTCTGTAGAGGACGCTTGCCTGTACTGTAGCTTTCCCTGGCGTCGTCTTTCCATTCTCTTAAAGGTTGGTGGGGGTTATCCTGAGTTCCCTAGTTGGGGTGGAAGACCGCCACTACCCCTGTGAGCAGCACCGTTTCCTGGCTGAGATTCTGGAGCTCGTGCGTGGAAAAGGAGAGCTGAGCAGCCGCTTGCGTTCACTGCTCTCTGCTTCCTGCCTGCAGATGCGACTGACCAGCCGCTTCAGTCTCCATCGCCTCGACTCTGACTCTGGGAGTGGCTGTACCCTGACCTGTGGGCTGCTGCAAACCTGTATCCTTCAACCCTGTTTCCCAGCCACAGAGGCTGCACCCCTGACCTCCGAGCCGCTGCACGCCCTTTACCCTTAAGTTCCTTTTGCCAGAATGTTTTGTCACGGCAACAAGGAAAGAAACTAAGACACCCTCCAGCCATGTTGGTTACCCTCCTATCTCTCGATCTTGTCTTCAGATCATTTCCTGCTCTGGAAAGGCTTTAGGGCTCCCCCTCTTCATCCTTCGGGTTGTGTCTCTAATGTCACTATGGTGACACAAAGAGCAATCGGAAACAGGAAGGATAAACTGTAAGGATTTTTTTAATTGACATTTTACGTTTCCTGTCTGTGTTTCCCACTAATATGTGAACTTTGAGGACATAGGCCGTACCTAGCCTGGTTTCCAATCTCTGTTCAAATATTGGATTTTTTTTCCTCTTCTCAGGGCCTAACAAATAGTTAATAACTAGAGAATGAATGGATGAATACAGAAGGAAGTAGTTTGAAAATAAATATATAAAAACTAAGATATGAGGGAAAAAATTATGAAACCCCAAAAATCCAAGCTGGCAATGTTTGGCCATTTTCAGATCTCATGGTGACTGCTTTAGAATGAGCAGGGCATCAACTTCAGGTTGTTATAAAACAACTTGTTTTAAGTTTGTTCACTCATTCTTAAAATTGTTATTATTACTAATTATATTATTAATATATAGCTGTATTAAAATTGCGACTGTTTTTTCCTTAATCTGACAACTTGGCAATACTTGGCAATACTCTCCCTTTCAGAGTTAATAATAAGAATAAACAATTAAAGCTGGACAGCAGTGGTGCACACCTTTAATCCCAGCAGGAGGCAGAGACAGGTGAATCTCTGAGTGTTCAAGGCCAATCTGGTCTACAGAGTAAGTTGCAGGAGAGCCAGGGCTACCCATAGAAACCCTGTCTGAAAAAAGAAAAACAACAAAACAAAAAAGGAATAAATAATAATAAAGTCCTTTCAACTTGAACATAGGCCAGTAAAACAGTATCCTTAAAAAGCTAATCATTTCCTGTAATCCGAGTCCTTGGAAGGAGGAGACATCACCACCAGAAGGTGCTAAGAACAGATGACATTCAAAATGGTTTTGCAATTTGATGACTAGAAGGGTAATACCCATTACCCCTTCCACCCTGCCAAATGACCACCATAATAAGAATTTATATCTAAATATCACTTTCTACATTTTAGCCATTTTTTCCTAGGAATTCGTTCTATAATGAATGTCAAAGAAGATGCCCCATTTGTGGCATTGTTTTTTTCTTGTCAATTTCACAAATTGAAAACAGTTCTCTAAACCATCAAGAACAAACTACCACCTGAAATCTGAAATCTGCTTTTTGACACCAGAATGAAGACGGCCCATCACTGTAGGCAGAGAAGGGAGAGGCCATCTCAGAGGAGTTAAGGCTACTCCTTCCAGCACGGAGCTCCTGAGTCCGTGAAGGTCACGGGCCTCCTCCAAAGCCTCTCGTTGCTCTGTTACTTTAGGGTGGCTCTTAGAAGCCGGAGTTGTAGAAAAGCCTTGTTCTCATTGGCTGCTATAAATAAAAACGGAATCATTATATCATGTCTTGAAAGGGTTTTATAGAGATACCAGGCCTAGCTTCAAGTACGGCAATTCATGCGGCAACTCTCTTAATGCGCGCCTTGGGAGCGATGCCGCGCCACGGTGACAAAGGGCATCGCTGTGGCTGCTGAGGCTTGTTTGTGTGACTGCCCACGGTTTAGGCACCTACTTACAGGTCAAAGCCTGCAGTCCATGAATGGAGAAAGCCAGAGTTCACCCTGCCTGGCCTGCAGCTCCCGGGCACTGTGTAATCCCACTGAACCTGTCTGGCAGCTTGGTAGTAACGGCTGTTCCTGGCAGATAAGACCCTCTTGGGAAGCCTGATGGCTTCTGTCAATAAGGAAACGGCAGAGTGCCTCTGGAATTTTCCAAACCATGAAAAAAAAAAAAAAAAAGAGTCTCCGGTTTGAAAATGTGCTGATAACCAATCACGACAGAGCTGTTGAAAATACCTTTTACTAAGGAACGATAGACCACAGTTCTTTGCTTTCTAATAATCAGTCATACGCAAGCCCCACATCTTACCCTGGATAGAAGCGGCTATTGTTTGCTTACCGGTTGCATCATCGCCAGAGACTGAAGATTTCCACAGCTTTCAGCAGCAGTTTGGGCAGTGCTAGCAAAGCACGCCTGATGTTTCACAACCGGAGAGTTAGAGCAGATTCCATTTCTGTCATTCCAGCACTCGGGAGCTCAAGCAGGAGGCAGAAGTTCAAGTTCATCCTTGGCTGCATAGTGAGTTTGGAGAATGCCTGGGATACAAGCGACATTGTCCTGACAAATGGCTCTGGTGGCTGAGGCCTGGGTCCCTTCTGCACTTTGGAGGCTGAGGCAGGAGGATTGCTGTCGATTGAAGGCTAGCATATAGTGATTTCCAAGCCAGTTTGGGCTACAGAGTAAAACTTTGTCTTGAAAAAGCAGAAACGATAGCCAGCGTTAACGGTGCACGCCTTTAATCCCAGCACTTGGGAGGCACAGGCAGGCGGATCTCTGTGAGTTCGAGACCAGCCTGGTCTACAAGAGCTAGTCCCGGGACAGCCTCCAAAGCAATACAGAGAAACCCTGTCTCGAAACACCCCTAAAAAAAAGATTTATTTAATTTTATTTGTATGAGTGTTTTGCTTGCATATATACAGATGGTTGTGAGCCACTACATGGATTCCAGAACCTGAGCACAGGACCCAGATCTGTAAGAGCAGCCAGTGCTCTTAACCTCTTTTATTTTAGGGTGGAAAACTGCAAATGTTTTTAAGTACTTAGACATTCTCATTGCTTTAAGTCAGATTTAAATACACTAGGAAATTAGTCAGTATTACCTAAGTATTTTCATGACACTTCAAGTTTCTTCTTAATTGATGTCTAAATAGAAGTTAATTGAAATTTTTCATTATTTTATTTTACTCATGATGAAAATTGCCTGAGAGATGGCCCTGTGGTTAAGAGCATTGGCTGCTCTTCCAGAGGTCCTGAGTCCAATTCCCAGCAACCCGTATGGTGGCTCACAACCATACGTAATGAGATCTGGTGTCCTCTTCTGACCTGCAGGTGGACCACTATATACATTATAAATAAATACATCTTTTTAAAAAAGAAAATTACCTGGACATATTAAAACATACCTTTTAAAATTAAAAAATATATAACTATTTAAAGACCTGACACCATGCCACTCTGTGTTAACATTTTGGTGACTACCTGTCTTAGTTCTGTTTCTGTTGTAGTTAAATACCCTAACAAAAAGCACCTTAGGGGAGGAGGAAAGGGTCTATTTCAGTAACAATTCCAGGTTACTGTCCATCATGACTGGGACAGCAAGGGCAGAAGTGACCCTGAGCAGCCGGTCACAGCACATCCACAATCTAGGGCAGAGGAGAAAATACATGCATGTACTTAGCTAGCTTGCTCTGCTCTTGGTCCGGAGCCCAAATTTAGGGAAATCATGCTGCCCACTTTCAGTCTGGGTCTTCTTACCTCAGTTAAGGCAATCAAGACAACCCAATCTGGACGGTACCTCACTGAGACTCTCTCTTCTCAGGTGACCCTAGGCTGTGCCAGGTAGATAGTTAGAAAGCAGCCATCACAGAATCCTCTCTCAGATCTCACGTATCGTTAATCAAATTCATGAGTAGATTTTATTATAGCACTGACTTTTCCCAAAACATTGATTGCTAGGTTGCTTCTTTTTTCTTTTCTTTCTTTTTTTTTTTTTCTTTTTTGGTTTTTTTCGAGACAGGGTTTCTCTGTATTGTTTTGGAGGCTGTCCTGGAACTTGCTCTGTAGACCAGGCTGGCCTCAAACTCTCAGAGATCCGCCTGCCTCTGCCTCCCGAGTGCTGGGATTAAAGGCAGGCGCCACCAACGCCCAGCTTATACCAGTGTTTTTATGTTAATGGAAAAAAATCCTACAAATAGGAGTAAAAAATCATCTATGTTTTTTAATTATAATTTCGCTTTCCCAAGAGCTATAATGCTAGGCCTTAACTTAGGCTTGTCCCACGAGCTCTTTAACGTAATTTAACCTGTCTCTCTTTATCTATGTTTTGCCTCAGGGCTTTTACCTTTCTTTCTTTCTGTGTGTCCTAACTTCCTGCTTCTTCTGTCTGGTGGCCACCTGGCTGGCCCCAGGCATCTCCTTCCCCTTCTCCCTAGTTCTCCCTTCTCTCATTCTCTCAAACCTAGACTCCTCCTCATACTTATTCTCTCTGTCCACCAGCACCATCTATCCCTCTACTCCTAGCTATTGGATTCATGTCTTTATTAGACCAATCAGGTGACTTAGGCAGGCACAGCAACACATCTTTACATAGTTAAACAAATGCACCACATCTTTACACAGTTAAAGTAATATTGCACAATAGGGTGGGTCATGACTCCTCACTTACACCTCTCTGAGAATGCCATCACAGACCACCCAGAGGTGTGTCCCCGAGGGGATTCTAACTCCAGCCCGGTTGACAACAAAGACTAACCACCAAGCACAGGGTAAGGGAGCAAGCAACCCCACCTTCTTTGACCACCTGTGATGTGAATTATTGGTAGCACATGGGGAACAGGCCATCCTTAAGAGATGAATTAAAAGTATAGCATTTTATATATACTAACTTACTGTGTGCCCAAGCATCTGGGGCATCTGCAAAATACACAATTAAAGCAGCATGGACAGAGACCAATCAGAATAGCTGATACAGGGCTCTGTGCAGACCCAGAAGACAGCAGTCCTGCTTCAAGTCTGTTTCTGGCTTCTCTGTTCTGTTCCATTGGCTTATTTGTCTGTCTATTCCTATGCCAGGTTCATATTGTTCTAATTCCACAGGCCTTTGGGATATTTCAGTGTCTGCGATTATTAGTGTGTGTGGGTTTTTTTTTCTTGGCTAGTCTCAAACATTTATTTTTACACTTGGACTTTAAGTCCTGTTTATATTCCTTTTGTATAGATAATAAATGTCTTCCTCAATTGCTGCCAACTGTGTGTTTTAAAGACAGGGTCTTTAGACCGTAGAGCCCACCAATTCACTTTAGCTGTCCAACACATCTCCAGGGATCCTCCTGTCTCTAGCTCTCCAACACTAGGATTATAGGTGTGCTTCCACTGTTGTTGGATTTTTACATGGGTCCTGGGGATGGGACTTATGCTTGTATGGTAAGCACTTTACTAACTGAGATATCTCTCCCGACCAAGTCCATTATTTTAAGGTGAACTCCATAGACTCGTCACAACTAAAGAACTTCTTGGAGAACTAGCAGAGGCCTTTCTGTGAATGTATCCATTTTGAGCAATATCTCTTCTCTGGATTTTGATCCCAAGATCACTCCAAGGAAACCTACTGCTGTCAATGTCTGCATTACCATTTTCCAGGTAGCCAACCTTAAACCTTTCAATCCTTGAAGGAAAGGGCTGGATGCTGACACGGCCAAGTATGAAGAGAGGAGCAGCTTCAGTTTTCTGTGTGGTTGAACACTTATCAGCCCAGGTGGTCCAAGCTTTCAAAAGGGAAACTAAGCTTCTAGATTGCGGTAGTTTTTGTGAGAATGGCCCGTGT